GAAATGACCGATCTTCCGGAGGAGATGGGCGCACTGGTATTGGTGGAAAGCGACGACTCAGTGGCGAAGGTGAAGGAGTTGTTGGAGCGCGCCAAACCCAAGTGGGAGGAGATGATCCAAGTCCTCGAAGCTCGACTGCCCTGCGCCCAGGATTTTCAAAGGGGTCAGTCGACGTCGCCCCCCACTGATGCAGGTCCACGTTCGTCCGGCGCAGCAGATGCGATTCACACGGCGCCCACTGTCACTGATGCAGCTCCACGTTCGCCTGGCGCAGCATATGGGACTGACATGGCGCCCACCATCGCTCCATCAACTCCAGCGCCTGCTTCGAATGCACCCTCGCGGCCAAACTCGCCCATCGCAGCGAAACAGCAATCAGTGGTGGCCACCGCCACTGCTGGAGTTGCACCTGCTGCCCCTTCAAGTCCCACGGCGCCCAACACCGAAGGAGTAGAACTCGCGCCGGTTGAGGTTGGCCCAGGTTCTCCACTTACCGCCATTGGATCTCGCCCCGCTTCCCCGCTAAGTGGAGATGAACCTACTGGGCGCAAAAGGAAGGCTGATGAAGAGGTCGACGCGGACATCACCAGGAAGAAACCGGCCAGCAATCGGAAGAAGGGCCCACCGAGTGCACCTCAGCGCAGACAACCTACGCGTGGTAAGGCTCCCGATAGCGTCAATCCGGCGACAGCAGGCCAGTCGAGCAAACCGGACACCATCATCGAGGAGGACTTGTAAATAAAATTCGCATGGCCATACATATCTTGAAATACCCTACAGTAGCTAGGGTATAATAAATTTTTTGATGCAGTTATTCTTTGGCACGCATATGCTTTGGCGCTCTTTCAGTTCAACTGACACATTTTGGGGCGCTGGCAAATTGAGGTTACTTGGGGCGCAAACAAATTGAGGTTCCTACGCGTTGGCGCTCTTACATGACAGGGTTTTGGAACAGCTTGGAACCCAAACCTTGTATTCGCAGGTGTAAGTAACATGTAGCTAGGTTGACTCAGGCGCCGGTGCGAAAACAGGTGTGGCACCTGAATCAAAGAAAGACTCAAAAGTGTGCAACGTTGAATCACTCCTTCCACCACTCTCCATGCCGTCGTCAATGACGCCCATGAAACTCTCTTTGACTTCAGTACAAGTCCAACCTCATATCCCAGGATCTTGATTGTCTTCATTACCTGAGCCACATTTGTGTGGAAATTCCATTATCCATTCATTGAACCTGTTGGGCCCACCCATTTGAAACGAAGACTTTGTAGGGCCCACGCATTGAATTGAAGACAGTAAGTACTGCCAGATATGTCGCCCACCTGATGGCACAACAACGGCTTTGGCGCAAAGCTCGTCGCCTATATTTGGCGGGCGAGCACCAGTTGGGCCCAGCCATCACTAATGGACAATTTGTCGATGGGCATGGGTCCGCAGTGAAGTCATTTCGAATGAGCGCGCCCATTAATGGCAGGCGCGAGCGCCCATTATTGGCAGGCGCGCACCTGTTCGGCCCAGCCATCACTATGGAGGATATGTTGATAGGTGGGCCGAGTCCGCTGGCCCCATATGGTATGAGGTATTGTCAGGTTCGGTTAGTCCATTAGGTAAGGGCTAGGGTCACTGTCATATGTGCTATCGAGACTCAACCAGAAGTTGATCTCTTGCGATGTTATGTCGAAGGAGACGTCTCTTGTGAGCTTGCCAGTGGTCACCACTTGGATGGCATTGATCTATGTGTTGACGTGCGAGTGGAGGACAGTGCTGTCGGTGACTAGGTTTGATGGGATGTGGGAGATGTTGGGTCGTTGGCCTTGCGATTGGGCCTTGAATTTAAAGCTTAAACAGCTTAGCGAGTCGTCATTAATCATTGTGAGAGGAAGGGAGGATTTACCAATGCAACAGCGTGAACAACCAAATTTGTCTCTGAAATCTCCACATTCCAAACTCAACTCAAGCTCTGCAAACTTTTCTTCTTCATCGGTATTCTCAACTTGACTTCTCCACCTCCTGCGTCTATCCCTGCCCCCTGCCCTCGTCGCTACAAAATCGTCGAACCATGGTTTAACGCCGCAGCTTACCACGGCTTGTGAACATTCATATGGCGTCGCGTCCCCACGAAAGAGAGTGGGCAGGTGGAGCTCCATACAGAGGGAAACGAGTGGGTTGAGGTACGTTGTACACCTTTTGAGTCCGAGTGCCATGATGTGTGTTTGGTGGTACATATGTCAGATGTGGGATGAGGTGATGTTGACATGGTGGGAGCGTGTTTGGGTTGGTAGGTCGGATGGGAAGTGTACCCTTGGAGGCGGCGGAGCGTTCCGAAGAGGCACTGGCGTACACGAAGAACGGAGTACCAGACTCGACCTAGGTGGTACGTGTGTGTTGGCCTTCCTCTGTCGTTTGTGTCGTTTCTCCGTGAACATTTACGTGAATGCATGAATAGAGCGACCTAACATTGCGCGGAGAACAGAGCTCTTCAAGCTCAGACAATCCGCAGAGACGAGGCGCGTGTATTCAGCCACTGCCGCCTATTGACCCCGGCTCTTCCTCACGATGTCACATACGACCCACCTATTGACCCCGGCTCCTGACGATGTCATACAGATACGACCCACGCACTGGGTGGTTGAGGGCTAGGAAGGACTTTGTTGGTTGCTGAAAATCGACCTTTTCGTCCTCAATCGGCGAAAACATTGAAAAAAACATAGATTCACGGAAAACATACCTTATCAGGCAGGGGGGGTACCACACTCGCCTGAAAAGGTGAGTGTTGGTACATTCTTCACATTCCGTCTGCCACCCCCATTGGTCAAACCCGAAGCGGTAGGAAAACTGGAGCAGTTCCACAGCAAAAACCACGTACGACGATGTCACCCCGCAGCGCAGGCAAGGCCACTCAACATCCAAACTAGTACGCCGCGCACCTTGCCTGCAACCAACTGAGCTCGCAGCTGAGCGCTGAGCTCTCCTTAAGTCCGACAATCTTCCTCAGCCCCAGCGTGCGCTTACATGCCAGAAGCGCACTGCTCCTTATCTACTCTCATGAGCCAACAATGGATGAACCGCCTTCACCATTGCTGAAGTCGAGGATTCCCAAAAAGACCATTCTCGTTGACCGCAATTCGTGAGATTTCGTTGTATATGTATTTAAATTCGAACACTACTTATCGCTCACTTTACAGATTCACACATTATGAAGAATCTCGGATTCGCGACCTTCATTGTCCTCTTCGAAAGGGGATCATTTGTTATCGCCGGGACGGTGCGATATTTGAGCACAACATCCATTCTTCCGGAAAACATGAGGTCAATTCATATGACGTATCGAGAAAGCCATATACAACTCACTACTTGTACCCTCAAGCCACGAATCATCGTCCCAAAACACCCGTCGCGGGATTTAGCGGAGATTTCATTCGTCCCCATCAAAGGCAACCGGATCCTCCTATTCGCAAAGTACTTAGAAAAGATAACTTACAAGGCGTATCTACATCTATCAATCGACGAAATCCGCGCCGATGATCGCGTTGGTCGTGCTCTGTGGTCTTTCAATGGTAGCGTTGATGGCCACTTCAATATTGATGATTTGGAGCTCATAAAATCCACCCGAAATCCACTGGGAATCACTTTTGGGGTGCGCTTTGACGACCATTGCAAGCTGTTCGACATCTCTACTACTGACACTGACGCCTCGGATAAATTTCCTCTTATCGAGTCCGGGAAAGTAATCTTTGCTCTAAAGCTCACGTCAAAGTCAGAGAACGATAAGAGTCTCGGTTTGTCCGAAATTTTTCATGCAGTCCTACTCTAATGTGTTCTCCAAGTTATGCTATCCCCTTCCGGGCACATTCTCCTCAACGCGAATTTGGAGAGAAACCGACGCGACGAAACGATTGACATTCACTATTCGGATTCTGGCCGCAAAAACAATGTGGACTTTTCCTTCATCACCCGCATATCTCTTCCCATTGCCGGGGTTCCGAAAGTATTGTTCCAGGAATCACCACTACTTGCATTTTCCGCCGATGCGTCCAGGTTTGCTATAGCCATTGGTCGCAGAAGAGTGTCTGTATGGGACGTCCGAAACAAAGTCCCACTAAAGACATTCATGGAAGACCCCAAGTCCGACGATCATGACCGGCATGTACGCCATCTTCAATTCAGCAGTGGAAAGTTAGGAAAAGAAGCTCTGGTATTTGTAGAGGTACGTCCGATGTTACTTTTCCATATGCCTCGTCTGAATCCTTAGCGCGATCATTCCTCCTCGCTTGAAATCATTCATGTAATCGATGCGACGTCATTTGAGACGGAAGAAATTCTTCCGTTAAACTTGGAAGAGCTCAATGATTATGAAAGGTACATAGGAGTGGGTTTGCTTTTCTTCGAAACGGGCGGGGGAACGCTGTATGCTGAACTTAACGGAATACTCTACGAATGGTACCTGCGGAAAAATAATCATGGTCCTGAATGGTGGATTGGGGAGTAGTAAGATGTCCGTCTCGACGAAATACTTTTTATTACGCCATTTGTAGTTTATTATTAGAAGTAACGAATGTTCAAGCCGAAGAAACGTGAAGCAGAAGAGACCGAAATTGGATTAACCTCGGCTTAGATATTGGCAAATGTACCACGAAGACCCAAGATCAAGCAAATAAACTCTGTGAGCTTGGGCGTAGTGCCACGTCGAACAAACAAAGTTTGCTTCAGAAGAAAGGGAGGAATCATGCTGCGTTTCAGGCGTAAAAACCCGTCGCGGAGGATGGTATCGTGGGCACAGGTACTAACGATGCGACGACGGGAAGGTAGGTGGGCGCACAACTCAGTCATACAGTAAGTGTACCGACAGAGCCCTGATGCATGATGCTCTTAGTCAGTTGGGATCTAGGAACGAGGTTTCGCGTTGCATTCCGACTTTGAAGGAATGCCTTGCGTTGGGTAAGCAAGTTAGGAGGAGCGTTTATCGTAGGATAAGTGGGTGAAGGTATTGGAATGTTGCGGGAAACTCAGAAACAAGCTGAGGTAGTTCCGACCGTCGCCTTGGTTCAACGCTGGCAGTAGCTGTCGTCCGCAAGCATATAAGACCAGACGGACAAGCAGTTTGAGCTGAGTGCATTGAGAAAGGCAAGTCTGTCCCAGAATTCGAGAAGGAATGCTACCAAAGGTGATTGCGAAGAGTACTGGGGTAGACAGATCAAGGACCTGACTACGGATGAATGGGCGACCAAAGTCTCAACAATGAGAGGACACAACCAGCTGGTAGTGGCGAGGAGACAAGAGCCGCCCTCTCCATGACCAAATTAAGAATCCGCCGCGCATCCGGTAGGCTTTCAGCTGCGCAACCAGAAACACGCACGCAAAAATTGGCGAACTCTTCCCTCATCCTCCACATATGTTAGTCACATTGTGCCTTACCTAATGGAGTAGCCGGATGTGACAAAACACCATACTACATGGGCCCAGCCGGACGGCCCGAATCTTATGATGTGCCTTTAGTGATGGTGCGGCCGTGATCCTTACAGGGACTCACTAAGTAGCATGCGCTGGCTATCCTTTTAACCGACGGCGTAGTGTCTCACCGGCGGAGATGTCCTGATGCCCGGCGGGGAGAGTTGCGGTGTACCCTGTCCTCTGGCGGCACAAGTTGCGGCGTACCATGTAAACATAGATGGTGATCATACATAGTGATAGGGCTGCAGTCATCAGTTAAATGTCATGAATGTGAGCCATTACAACTGAAAAATATACTGAATGATTAATCACAATGAGAGTCCTACTGCAAGGTGATGAGATACTGTAATTTCTTTTGAAACACAAGCAGTCTTCATTAACTATTGTCCATATCATGTCCCCCCAGATATACAGCTGAATATAACACACCAGCAGAACACCTTCCAATAAAAACACATTGCCTTTTCATAAGAGACACTTTTTGAATAGCTGTGTTGGAGGTCTAGAGCAATATATATCTATATAATAAAGCTCTGTTGCAGCAGTGCAGTTTTTTCAAAGAGGCACCGCAAGACCAATGTATTTTTTTCACCGCCGGCACAATGTATTATTTTTTAAATTGGCACTGCCAGAGAAATGTATTTTTTTTAGGTGGCACTGCCAGCACAATGTATTACTTTTTAAAATGGCACTGCCAGAGCAATGTATTCTTTTTAAAATGGCACCGCTGGCACAATGTATTATTTTTTAAAATGGCACCGCCGGCACAATGTATTACTTTTTAAAATGGCACCGCCGGAGCAATGCATTTTTTTAAAAATGGCACCGCTGGCACAATGTATTATTTTTTAAAATGGCACCGCTGGGGCAATGTATTACTTTTCGAAATGGCACCGCCGGAGCAATGTATTTTTTTTTTTTCAAAAATGACACCGCCGGGGCAATTGTTTTTTTTATTAAAATGGCACCGAGGCAATGTATTCCTCTTTAAAACACCACCACTGGAGCAATATGCTCTGCCTTTGAAATTGCTCTGGCAGAGTAGTACTTGCATATTTTTTAGAAATACAAAAATCATGTTTAGGGCAAAGAACACTAGAATTAAACAGACAGTTGATACATATGATTACTAGTAAATGGGTGGTACTGCTGAGGTACTCTTGTTTACTTCTGCATATGTTTTCTATGGGGGGACTGAGGGGTGGATTGCAGAGGGTAGATTGCAGCTGTGGATGGTATATTGCAGGAGGTAGATTGCGGAGGGTAGGTTGCAGCTGCAGAGGGTATATTGCGGGGGGTATATTGCAGTATATTGTGGCTGTGGAGGGTATATTGCAGGAGGCATATTGCGGGAGGTATATTGTGGGAGGTATATTGCGGGAGGTATATTGCGGGAGGTATATTGCGGGAGGTATATTGCGGGAGGTATATTGCGGGAGGTATATTGCGGGAGGTATATTGCGGGAGGTATATTGCAGGAGGTATATTGTGGGAGGTATATTGCAGAGGATACATTGCGGCTGTGGATGGTATATTGCGGGAGGTATATTGCGGGAGGTATATTGCGGGAGGTATATTGCGGGAGGTATATTGCGGGAGGTATATTGCGGGAGGTATATTGCAGGAGGTATATTGTGGGAGGTATATTGCAGAGGATATATTGCGGCTGTGGATGGTATATTGCGGGAGGTATATTGTGGGAGGTATATTGCGGGAGGTATATTGCGGGAGGTATATTGCAGGAGGTATATTGCAGGAGGTATATTGCAGAGGATATATTGCGGCTGTGGATGGTATATTGCGGGAGGTATATTGTGGGAGGTATATTGTGGGAGGTATATTGCAGGAGGTATATTGTGGGAGGTACATTGCAGAGGGTATATTGCAGCTGCAGAGGGTATATTGCAGCTGCAGAGGGTATATTGCAGGGGGTATATTGCAGAGGGTAGATTGTGGCTGCGGAGGGTATATTGCGGGAGGTAAATTGCGGAGGGTATATTGCAGCTGCAGTGGATAGACTACAGAGGGGAGACTCATCTGGATCCTTCAAAGGGGTTTGGAAGAAAGTATATAAACCTCTGTACATGCTCACAAGTGTGTTTTGAAGAGTCACTTATGTGAAATACCTTTTCACAGATTGTTTCAGCTGCACAGAATGTAAAAATGACTGTCAACCCACATAAAAACTACCTCTGGAAAGCTGGAGAAAGCAGGATTTGAACAAGCTAGACCCAACAGTAGGTTACCTAGGAAAAGAAAAAGTCTTGATGGTGTTCATTGTAAATTTTAACTTTTCACAAGCTGTTTCAGCTCTGCAGAACATAATAATGGCTGTTACCTCATGTAAAAGCCACCTCTGTAAAGCTGGAGAAGTCAGGATTCGAACAAGCTAGGCCCAACGATAAGTTGTTTGGGAAAAAGAAAAGCCTTGATGGTTTCTATCATAAAAAGTACCATTTCACAGGTTGTTTCAGCCCCGCAACATGTAATAATGACTTTTGACTCATGTAAAAACCACCATTGAAAAGCTTGAAAGGGGACAATTCTAACGAGCTAGGCCCGACGATAAGTTGTTCGGGAAAAAAAAAAGTCTTATGATTTTTGTTGTAATGCCACAATGCAGTCAAGGTTTGATAGAGATTATCAACATAAAACCCTCTTTTCCGTGTTTGTCAACAAAAACAAAACATCTCTTGAAGATTTTAACATGGTAATTACCATGGCATTGAGGTCTATCACCTGGCTGGTTTTCAGGTTACATGGACTGAAATTGGGTGAGTGCGTCGTTGTTTGTCGGGATGCAGGGTCTGTTTGCATGCGGTGGAGGGCCCATGCACCAAGCGCATCACCTCAATTTGGAAATGTCTCAGGCACAAACTGAAACTTTGATGGTCCCTGCCTGGCAACAAGCAAAATAGCCAGACCATCCTTGTTGCCGCAACACCCTTTTCTGGTCCTGCATAATGCATACTTGGTTATCTCTGGCTATCAGAGCCAGAGCTCATATTGAGAGAAAGTGTGCACAGCTAAAGTTTGAAGAACCATTAGATTGGTGGTGTTTTTGGGGCAATGTGTAGTGCTTTGCTTGGCAGGGTGTTCTATGTGGTGGGTAGTCCAACGGAGTATCATAAAGAAATGACACCGCCGGCAGAGCAATATTTGCAGAGAGATTGTGTACTCAAATATGTTTTCGGTGTAAACATGTCAAAAATATTTTAACAGGCTATTATAAATTTTCAATATAAAAGCGGAGGCGATTTGCGGTGGCTGGCCCGGCGGCGTATCATAAAAAAAATGACACCGCCGGCAAAGCAATATTTGCGGTGGCATGGTGTACTTAAATATGTTTTTGGTATAAACATGTCAGAATATTCTAACAGGCTATTATAAATTTTCAATATAAAAGCGGAGGCGATTTGCGGTGGCTGGCCCGGCGGTGTATCATAAAAAATGACACCGCCGGCGAAGCAATATTTGCGGTGGCATGGTGTACTTAAATATGCTTTTAGTATAAACATGTCAAAAATATTCTAACAGGCTATTATAAATTTTCAATATAAAAGCGGAGGCGATTTGCGGTGGCTGGCCCGGCGGCGTATCATAAAAAATGACACCACAGGCAGGGCAATATTTGTAGAGGTATTGTGTACTTGAATATGGTTTTAGTATAAACATGTCAAAAGTATTCTAACACACTATTATAAATTTTCAATATAAAAGCGGAGGCGATTTGCGGTGGCTGGCCCGGCGGCGTATCATTAAAAAAAAATGACACCGCCGGCGAAGCAATATTTGCAGTGGCATGGTGTACTTAAATATGTTTTTGGTATAAACATGTCAGAATATTCTAACAGGCTATTATAAATTTTCAATATAAAAGCGGAGGCGATTTGCGGTGGCTGGCCCGGCGGCGTATCATAAAAATGACACCGCCGGCGAAGCAATATTTGCGGTGGCATGGTGTACTTAAATATGTTTTTGGTATAAACATGTCAGAATATTCTAACAGGCTATTATAAATTTTCAATATAAAAGCGGAGGCGATTTGCAGTGGCTGGCCTGGCGGCGTATCATAAAAAATGACACCACCTGCGGGGCAATATTTGTAGAGGTATCGTGTACTTGAATATGGTTTTAGTATAAACATGTCAAAAGTATTCTAACACACTATTATAAATTTTCAATATAAATGCGGAGGCGATTTGCGGTGGCTGGCCCAGCAGCATATCATAAGAAATGACACCGCCGGTGGGGCAATATTTGTGGAGGTATTGTGTACTTAGATATGTTTTCAGTGTAAATGTGTCAAACTTCATTATAATTTTTTTTCTATGTTTGCGGAGTCAATGTGCAGTGGTTGGTCCGGCGGTGTACCATAAAAAAATTATATAACCAGTGGAGCAATATTTGCGGAGGAATCGCCTTGCTGGTGTACTCAAATACTTTTGCAGATTAAATGTGTGAAGCTTCTTCCAACAGATCATTCCAATATGTGTCATTTTTGTGGAGGCAATGTGTGGTGCTTAGTCCAGTGGAGTGTTTCAGAAGCAATGTGCAGTGCTTAGTCTGGCAGAGTGATTCCACTCAAATTGTAGCAAACAGCATACATAGGTTGATAATATTATGCATGATTGATATAAGCCAGACTTGTAATTCTAAGTATTCAACTGGATGATGGCCGCCGGTGTGTCACCAACACCCCGGCGGAGGGCAGCCCCGCACTGGGTTATGACATTCAAGGTACACCCAGCCGCTCCAGTGGTATGGGACATTGTTGCTGATGGCCCACACATAGTTACTGGTGGATTGTTCAGGGTCCGGCCGCCCCTTTGACAATGGGGTCCGGTAATCAAACCGGCTGTCCGGCTAGCCCCTTACCATTTGATGGATTGTCAGGGCAGGGTGGCCCATTACTAATGAGCCAAGGTGACTAACTTAACTGCATCCTCCCTTCTCCAAAAACCCGCGTGAACCCAGCCACCCACCTCCCTGGGTTAATGAATAAGGATAGAAAATGCGTGAGGGTTTTTAATATCCATACACTTCCCTTTGCGAGTAACGGTGCAAGTTGAAGGAGGGCCCGGAGATAAGTAGTGGTGGGGATGAGACGAGGAACGGTATGCCCCGCTCTGAGAGTAGCCAGAGTCAGGACTCAGTACTCAGGAGCCATGGCAGGCTATACAAACTACCCAGGCGTCCTCGTAAACCCAGAGAACAAAGCAAGTGCGCGAGGTTGATGATGATAAGGTGTTGACAAGGTGATTTGCCAGTGCAGTGCCAAACCATCTTTTAGTTTGCTGGCCTCTGGCGAAACCGTTGACAGTAAATCTATGGGGGACCAAAAGGCGCTTGTGAGCGGGAGTCTGGAGCATTGAATCAGGCTTGCAATGTGTCCGGGAGTATGTCGAAGTGATGGTACAGTAGATATTCTCACAATGCATATACTCATAATGCATAAATCTCATAATGCATGACATTTTCAGGGGACCAACTTGGTACGCGGGGATTTATGCATGGAACGTCATATCGAATAATGCATATCATATTTTGGCATTATGCATTACCAGATCTACAGATTTACCGGGTATTTACCTGTTCACCTCATTGTACCTGAGTTTTTCAGGACCAAAGTCTACCCTAATATACCCTGCCGCGAATACACTGCTCGAGAGTAGTATCCAATTTTGCCAACACTTTTCTATCATTCTATGCCAGCTGCTGAGGAGAAGAAGCGGAAACCTCGAGACGGGCATAAGCCCTATGCACCTCGCGGAGGGAATGGAGCTGTGCGAGCATTTGGTGTGTCATCCACTCAGAGGCTCACGGCGTGTCAACACTGCTTTTGCAACAACAATTGCGCAAATTGAGGGCTCATCTTCATGTTGTTCAAGTGAAATCAGCCTGACAAACTACTCTCAACTCTTTTTTCAGTAGTAACCTCTCTCCCATGGATGTCGATAGCCTGTAAATATCCAGTCTTTCCAGTTTTCGTCTCACTACATAAAAGACATTTCGAAGCGTGACATTTTTTGGCTGAGGTCAGAAATAGTCACATTTTGTGACATATTTCATCTTGCATAAATCTCACAATGCATAGAAAAAGTCGGGGACCGGCATTATGCATTGTGAGAATATCTACTGTAGTGGCAATTAAAGAATTTTATAGACTCCGAACCAAACGGAGATCAGCTTTCACCAAAACGTCCACCACCAACGTCCATCGACTAACTGACATACCTCCTACAAAACCACGCACATAGCTTGCCAAAGCCTCAAAATCGTCCCAAACTCCAACAATCCACGGCGTCATTTCTGACTCCACACTGGGGAGCACGTCCACCCAACGTCCACCAAATCCTTCGGCCGTCGTGAATTCGTCGGTAGGCTGATTATTGGAACGCACGAGGGGAGGGGTACAAAGGGGTGTCGTTGCTTTGAGGTTCGAGGAAGGGTAGGGTGAGGAGAAGGTCCATCTTGCGCGTGACGGGGCTGTTCACGAATCGCGTTAAAAGCCACCCCCACTGTGGAGACGTGCCGATTTCTGAAGAACTGGGATTGAATATTGAATATTGACCGGTGACCGTTCATCTAAACAGGCGAAATTAACTTCCCATCACCATCGTCGAATATCAACGCGCCTGTCAACTTCTCCCAACCCGAGCCTCAAACGAATTCATCAAGCAATAAACGAGCAGGCCATTGATCCTTGCAGCGCCGACATCGACTGGGTAATCACTAAACCCCCACGTACTCCAAAGTGTCTGCTTCTTCGAGTTAGTGAGGGGAATGATGTGTCGGATGTTCACCAAATTTCGTTTTTGCTCGGGGGGCAATAGAGGGCGTACTAGCGGGTTACGGGTAGACGAGGAGGGTGTGAATGTGAACGGAGGAGTCCGCAGCTAAAGTTGAGAGACCAAAGGCATGTCCCAACTCCAACGTCGGCAGCTGCCTCTGACCTGACCTTTCAAGAGGTCTCCCCTCGGAGTTTCTGGCCCGGAGGCGTGGTAACACGAAGGGAGGAGGATTGAGGCCTTTACTCGCTTCTAGTAGTGTCCTCAGGCTTTTGAGTATGTCTATCACTGACAATTCCTCTGCAGGCTTATCTTGACAACTAGTACCTGCTTATCGAATGCTAACCCATCTTTTTGCGCTAGCGCCACGTTCAACGCGTGAAAGCGAACGGAACATTGATAGTATGGTACGCTAAGTTCACGCACTCCCCTTTGCATCATCACTCAACTACACAGCCATTCAAGACCTCGGCGTACATGGGCGAATTCGACGCGTTAAACTCAAGCTTTTCTGTTCGTATACGGGTGAATACACGCACTGTATATTGATTCGAAAGACGGCCAAACTCAAATGCCCAAGTTGGGTTCGACTCCCAGACAGAGATTAGTGAAAGATTAGTGAGGTTGCATGTCTTTTACGACGTGGACCGGTAGATCTCTTTTTTATTTTATGGTGAACTCATCAAAGTGATGGACGTTACTTTTCAAGTATCCTGGTAAATGGCTTGGGTGTGCAACACGCGGAATGGCAATGTCTTCTGACTCCCTTTGGCTTTTGAGTGAGTATATCATCGAGGACTACACTTCAAACACATCATGCAATTTACATTTGCCATGGACGCCAGTGTCCCCCAGCACCACCGTCGCCTTTGACGAACGAATGGTGGAGCGCCTTCCATCCACCCCATCGTTACTAAATTATCCAGGATCTTTTCAAGTTGTGGGACTGGTGTTCTTTCCTGCGATCTTCTACGCTGGTCTGCTAATTTCCTTTTGGTATCTTACCCGTCGTTCCAATGTTAGTGCGCTGCTATGGACCAGAACCATCAGCAAAAGTTCACGTTCCATGGTAGGCCTAGTATATATAGTATGGGCCTACTTACCTAGTATCTCGCTTGTGTGGCTTTGGATGGGGCTTAACAGGCTAGCAATCCCTAGGATGGAACGTGAAAGCCTAGTGAAGCCTAGTATGGAGAGCAAAAGGGTAGTATAACCTAGTATGGTATCTAAGAGGGTGTTATCATCCATTTATGTCGGTTGGTAGCCTATCACCGGCCTAGCATGCTTGTACTACTCCTAGGATAGGATTCAGCTATTTTGGTTGACCAATATTTTTGTTCCGTTCTTAAGTTATATTGACCAAAGTTTAGGACCATGCCTACGGCACTGAACATTGAAAAAGTATTCTAAACATATTGAGAACATACTAACAACTACTATAACTAAATCCATTGTCGTTGTCGTAGTCGGTCATCGTTGTTGTCATCGTTGTAGTTGTCATTCGTCGTTATCGTTGGCGGTCATGGTTCGTTCTCGGGGGGTTATTCATCATCGTTGGTGGTGGTCGTGGTCATTTGTTGCCGATCATCTTTGTTGTCACCCTTCTTCGTCATTCGTTGTCCATAGTCGTTGTTGTTGATCTGTTGTTGGTCGCCACGTCGCCGTTGGTAGGAGATGGGGAGGGGAGTCATGATGTTCACCCGGAATAATATGAACAGTGACGACAAAATGCGTCGTCACCGTCCATCGCCCCTGCTTCTGGTGTGAAAAAAGGAGAGGGAGCGAAGTCATGTTGCTACTCACCTGGATTATAGCGTGCCCTCGTCATCGGTTCATAGCCATCCCGTGTCCTTGTCGCTGTCGCGTCCTCATCCCGTGTCCTCGTCTTGTGTTTTCATCGTCGCGTCGTCGTTGTCCCACATCATCGTTCCGTCGTTGTCCTGAGTCCCAGCGAGCTGTGTTGGGACGAACGTGAGACAGGGGTACTTACCTTGGTGTCCTGAAATACACATGCCGTTCGTCGTCGTGTGGTTGACACGTCGCTGTCAGCGACGTGGCACCTGGATTCCGTGTTAGAGAGACGAGTGGTGGGGGTGAGGTGAGCTTACCGTGTCCTCCTCGCGTCCTCCTCGCTGTGTCATTGTCGTTTCACGTTGTTGTTCCGTAGTCGTCCTGTGTCTCACCGAGGTGGGTTGTGACGAACATACGACGGGGTACTGTGGTGTGAAGTAAAGCGATGAAAGCGATGTAGAGGTACGTCGGACTTTGATTGGACTTATCTAATTGATCACATGACACTAATCACGCGTTTCACTGGAACTTTGCTCTCTGTTCTTGACCACCACCACCGCCTCCCTGCTCCCCCGCTCCTGACTCCTTCCCTCCCGGCGACGACGACGACGACGGCTCGACGCTACAACTCCTGGCTGTGCTGTACCCCGCTCAGCGACACCGCAGTGAGCTTGAGCGATTCGCTTGTATTGTCTGGTGTTGAGAAGGAGACATCATGGGCGCAGATTCTCTGAGCGAGTGAGTAATTATCTGAGCATATATGCTACTTATCTTAAAGATTTGACTTTCCAATGTAGGTATTCAATCGACTACCGTTTACGCCGATGCTTTGCTACGCGTTCTCTTGCCAAGTAAGTGTTTTTCGTGGCATACATGCGCATATATGTGATGTATCTTCCAATTCTGACAGTGCTCGAATGCTTGGTGTCTTCCCCGATGCCCAGGCCGATGACGGCGCGGATTATTGGTCGATACCGTCAAAACGATGTCATATCGCTTGGGAGACTGGATTTGCACGGTATGTACACGCTTTATGACTCTCTAGGTAGTAATTTGCTAACAATGCATTCTTTAGCACCGTATCGTCCCCTTGTACCCAATTCACGCATGCAGGGGATATGCCCTCCGAGTCGTTGCCACCCTCCGCGCCATAGCAGTCAAAGTCGCCTTGGTTACACGCAAGCTCCTCGCAGCCGCAGCCATCACCGCAACTCTTCGCACGCCACCACCACCGATGGTGAGCAACTTCACCTCTCGTCAACGCCCGTTGAGAAGGTATGCTGAGTGTCATTGTCATGATCATCCTGATTCGTCTCCTCAAGACGCATATACTGGCGGTTTCCATGGTAAGCGGCTACATCGCAGGAGTAGCCTTAATCAGCCAAGAGAGCGACGTGAGGAGCAAAGGGTTTCAACTGGTGATGATGACGGCTCACCTCGCATGCCTCTGTCGTCTAAGCAGAAGACGAGTGGTATGACATCGAAGAGAACGATAACTGCCAACATTTACTCAAGGTGTTTTCATTCGCTTTTCTTCGACTCTACACTGGCTCATTGATCAATCTTCCAGACTACCGTTTTTTATGTCACCCACTTGCTCACGGTCTTCCACATGTACGTATCGCTTTCTTTTTTTTTCTCCATCCTTCCAATCTTTTCTCTTGCTGCCTGCCATTCTTGTGTCGTTTTCAGACTTTGTATTAGATGCTACAAGAAATACATGTTTTATTTCGCCGTATTTCATATGAAGTGATCAGAATTTAAAATAAGAATTCAAGATCTAGCTAAGATTGTATGGAAACGGTTCACTAGGATGGCCTAGTATGGCCTCGCATGGTGTCAGGAGCCATGCAAGAAACCGGTGCCATGCAAGGCCTATCACCAGGGATGTAAGCCGAGGTTCCAACCTTGGCCATAGAAGGGGGGCTAACCTTTCATGGCCTATTGGAGCCTCTCATGGCCATTTATGGCCTTACGTGGAACCCGAACTTTTGCTGATGACGGAGAATTGCGAATTCTGGTATGTTCTTTTACTGCTGTGCGGATCAATTGTTGAATGGCGACGTCTTTCAAATCAGTATAATCAATCGAGATCCCCCTCTTTTTCCAACTTTTTCTCTATCAAGGTAGAGAGAGCCCGGACTGCACCATTCATCTCTTTCGGCCAACAAGGAGCTTTGTCCGGCGTTGGCCCCTGACCAAGGCCGGAGCTCACCTCTCGCCTTTCCTTCCATACCTCAGGACCTCTATCTTGTACTCATACCACCTTCATCCTGGCGTACGGACACTTCTCCGAGGTACGCCCAGCTTCGTCCATTATTCAAGGGATCAACGTTTGCCAGGTCCCTCCACGAACAGCTCCTTCACCCGCCTTCGAAGAGGCTCTCAAAATCACTCCGCAAGTAATGCGCTTGTTTGTTCAGCATTAATGACAATTTCTGGCAGCACATCGTCAGTCACAAGGGAAGTGAGGGATGCGCGAGCTTCGAGGTAGAGATAAGGAGTGAGAACTGGCAAAGAACTAGGTCACAAGGTAGGTAATTGCCTAAGGGTAGGTTCCACACTTATTAGCAGCATGGCGCAGTTGGAAGCGCGCGGGGCCCATATTCCAAGTTCTGGTGTGAAACCCCGAGGTCACTCGATCGAAACGAGTTGCTGCTATGTACTCACGTAGTTTCCACTTTTTTTTTTACTGCGTGGTGGTCAGCAGAGATGGAGATCAGCACCGGATGTTTGGATTGACCAAACACGGTGGAAGAAATTCTTCGGTTGAACTCGGAAAGTGATTATGAAAGTTACATAGGAGTGGGTTTGCTTTTCTTCAATCCAGGCGGGGGAACTCTGTATGCTGACTCACTTGGGATACTTTATGAATGGGACCTGCGGAAAAATCATTATGGTCCCGAATGGTGGATTGGGGAGGAGTAGGAGGTCCGCCTCGACAAAAAAACTTTGTATTACGCCGTCTGTAGCCTATTATTATAAGTACCATGAACACCCAAAATCGAGCAAACAAGCTGTGTGAGCTTGGGCATAGTGTGTTGAACCAACCAAGTCTGCTCCAGAAGAAGCCACTGTGTTGGAGTCGTAAATACCCATCGCGGAGGGTGGTAACGCAGGCGTGTTCTCTTCTCCTTCAGACTTCTTTTGCTTGAACACTCGTCATTTATTTTAATTGACTAAACAGTGTAATAAAGTATAATTATCGAGGCGGACATCCTACCTCCCCGATCTACCACTGGGGACCAGGCTCATTTTTCCGCAGGTCCCACTCGTAGAGCGTTCCGTCAAGTTCAGCGTACAGAGTTCTCCCGCTTGGATAGAAGAAAAGCGCACCCAGGTCCCATGTAAGCCTTTCTAACTTTAACAGTAGAATTTCTTCCATCTCAAACGACATCTCATCTATCACATGAATGATTTCATGAGGGGAGAAATCATGGAGCTAAGGTTCAACGTTCAGGATTCAGACCACGTATTTGAGACGCAACTTTACCATTCGTTCGTCAAAGGCGGCGCTATCGCGGAAGACCACTGGCGTCCAAGGTGATCTACTTGAAGCGTAGTTGTTAATGATATGTTTACTCATAACGTTAAGGCAGTCTGAAGATCCACATGTCGCATAGCGCAAGTCATCTTGAAGTAGAAAAGTAACGTCAATCAGCTTGACGATTTCAACATCAAAAAAGACAAAAAGATGATCTAAAGGCCACGTCGTAAAAGACAATAGCCGTCGTGTGGATTTAGTTTTTAATCTCTGTCTGGGAATCGAACCCAGCTTGCGGATTCCTTTCAAATCATACAGGCGCGTGTATTCACCGGTATACAAGCAGAGAGGCTTGAGTGTAACGCGTCGAATTCACCCATGTACGACGAAGGGATCTTGAATGGTGGGTAGTTCAGCGATGATGCCAGGGGGATCAAGTGAAAGCACATGCTCCGTTCACTTTCACGCGTTGAACGCGATGCCAGCGCAGGAAGTTGAGTGGGCATTCGATGCCCATGTAGTTGCCACGATAAACCTGAAAGAGCGATGGTTATAATAGACGAAACCATGGGAATGCTATGAGGTCCCTAACGAAAAATTTATCTCTATGACTGAGACCCATATATGACGGCGTACCATAGCACCAAGAAGAAGCGAACCCGTGGAAACCGTTTGTCCATCCAAGGTTTTATATTTCGCGGAAGGAAATGGATCTACAGAGGCGTGCATAAAGAATGAAGGTCACGGGATTTCGCATCATTCTCAATATTCAACGGTAACCGCCAAGCCCGGAGCAGTCGGTCGAAGGGAGGTTGGAGTATAGTATATAAAGAGTGTTTATGTCAAGTTAGAGGCAAATCGGACATGTTCTACAGGAGCTGATGAGGATTGAATAAAAAACGAAGATTTTGCTATTACTATATCAAGATATGACTTGTATTAAACCCCTCCCAATCTTCAGAAATGAGTGGAAACAGAATTAATATCTAGTGTACTTGCCCTTGGCTTCCTTTAAGGCCCTAACACGAGCTGGGATAGATGTGTATAACTTCCGTATATATAGAACATCAAGTTTTGCCCATTCCTCCTGCAGAGCAACCCACAACTCGCCAAGATTTCGTGGTCGTGGATTGCGAGCACGTATATGAACATCTAGTTCATCCCAAGCATGTTCAATGATGTTCTGGTCAGGAGATGATGGAGCCCAGGGCAGTACACGGATGTGATGTGAAGTGAACCATGCCTTTGCGAGGTAGGATGTGTGCTTCGGGTCGTTGTCCTGTTGGAAGATGATGTTTCGAGGTGGGCATTTGTGGTCCTTGAGTGAGCTGAGGAAGGACTGTGAGAGGATAGAGCAGTATTGGGCAGCATTCATATGTCCCTCAACGCGGTGAAGCCGACCAGTGCCATTCCATGAGATGCAACCCCACACCATAAGACTACCGCCTCCATGCTTCATCGTTTTCACCACATTTCTCTCCAACAACTCCTCCCCAGCCCTCCTACGGCAGTACTGCCTCCCATCAGAGCCAAAAAGATTGAATTTAGACTCATCTGAATACCAGACCTTCCTCCAAAACTGAAGGGTTCGTTGAAAATGTGCTTTTGCCCAAATCTTCCGCCCTAATATATGCCTCTTTGGTAACCACGGCTTTCTCCTTCGCACTCTTCCATAGAGACCCTTCCGAATAAACATCCTGCGAACTGTGGTGGGGTGAAGCTGTGGGAATAGCTCGCGCTGGACGTCAGTAGCATCAGCACACGTGCCCGAATAGATTAGTCGAACAGCGCGACGTTCCGCGTGAGGTGAGATGAGCTTCGGCCTGCCGGGGATCACTTTGTGAAGGTAGAAATTGGGACTGCGCCCTTGTTTCTCGAGCTGGTGGAAGTTGCGTGCGACGGTTGGGGTGGTGAGGCCAAGGGTGTGTGCGATATCATGGTAGGTGTTCCCGGCCTTGCGCAGAATGAACAGCCGAGCCTTCTTGGTAGGGGTGCAGGTTACCATACACAAGGGCAATTAGAAAAAGGATTTCCGAGGATAATGATCTGGCCGCGACGCGTTCAACATGAGCCTCAGAAGGAGCAAGATGAAGGTCAGACGTAATGATCGGTCACACAAATGATGGTCACGCAAACTTTGGTGCGTTTAACGAGCATTATGGGTCCGATTCTTATGTTTCTTTTCAATAAGCAACGTCTTAGTGTCGGCTTTAAAATGGTTAATTCTGATCTACAGTGAGTTACAAATTGCTTTCAAAACTGAGTAAGTTTCTAAAAATCCCATGACCTTCATTCTTTATGCACGCCTCTGTACTATGCTGAAGTGAGGAGAAGTATTTTTCTCCACTGGTTTGCAGGTAGCTCAAGTATCAAACGGTCGTCGTCGAGTGGCCTAGTTCATGTTGTGGAAAAGATATATACCAACGATTGAGACTCTATTTGGGAATCGAACCCAGCATCCCTAATATCAGCTCGAGGATGGAGAGTAGCCATAACTGATATACGACAGAGGATTTTGACGAGTATCGCCCATATCCTCAGATGATGCGTTCCTAATGGGGTTGGTCAAGCAGATAGGAAAGGGTAGTCAATCGATACGTACCACGTGCCCACTCAGGATTTCTATCATATATGGAACACAACGCTAGCAAGAAGAGGTACCGGTAAACCTTGTCCGACGCATCGCCGATACAATGAACGACCTGTCAACCTGTGGAGTCTTCGAGTTGTCGATGAAATAGCACACTTACCGACACAAGGAGGACGTAGCGAGCCAAAGCTCGAAACGAAAGGAGCCCATTCAGCAGTAGATCCACCTAAAATAACAAAGACAGTGGGTTGGAGACAATCTAGATCACATTTTGAAAACAAAAAATGTATGAAAGTTCATATCTCTGTCTAGGAGTCGAACCCAGCTTTTGCGCATATAAATATCCAGGCCTGCTTGGGAATGGCAAGCGCATGTGCTAAGTAACCGGTATACGAACAGAGATCTTGACAGCCGTTCGTGAGTATCGTCTATGTAAGACGACGCGCTGTCATTCGGATAGGTAAGGTAACAGCGGTATGTAGGAGTAGATCGACGCTACCGGGTGCACTGCTCTTCCTCCATCCAACCGAGTTTTTGAACTTAGACACGCGCGGAGCTCGACGTTATTGATAAATGATCCAGAGATGCCCTCCTGGTTGCCTCCTGGCACATCACGCAGCCGTGATAGACGTGAAAACGCGTCGTCGAAGGTGTTGTGTAGTAAATCCGCTCAAAACTCTCATGGCTGCTTAAGTCTGCGACACCATTAGCTCAAAAGAAAATGGACCGGCAAAGAACGAACCAACAAAAGCTACACGTATGCCCCTGTAACCTCTTCCGACTATTGAGACATTTGCGATGTGAAGCTACCACATAACGATAAGTGATGAACAGGTAACGGAGACGTGTAAACCCACCTAATGCTTCGGCAATCGATAGTTTGTTCTACTGCCTTCCTTGAGACCTGTACTCAGTCGAGATACCACGTCATTCAAGGGGAAAGCAAAGGAAGCAGGAATCACACCTTCGGGGAATCACGCCTCTCAAGAATCTGCGGCTTGATAGGAAGAATGTCCGTGCTGGTTTGGATCGTGGTGTCTGAGTGAGTGATCAGAATTTGGTATCTGGGAAGGTCTGTTGGTGCGATGATTCAATAATCTTGCATTGAATAATTGAGTACAAGTACCTGTGATGTAAGTTCATTTTGGGGCCGTGTTATCCTATATGTAGTGATTTTCGTAGCTTTCCATCCCAAGAAAGACGGTTGACAACGTTGAAGGTTGAGGCTGCACGTCGTGGTCGCGGTCAAATCGCGGTCGAAGTGAGCTTTGCGGTGTGTGTCGGACTTTGTATCTAGCACTTTTCTGAAGTTTTCGTTGATGCGCATTTCTACCAGCCTCCAGGCCAACACACGCGTAACGACATTGGAACTACTCTCCGCGACCCCACTAGAAGCGAGTAAAGGCTTCAAGCTTCAAGCCTGCTCACTTCGTGTTAGCACGCCTCCGTGCGGGAATGAGACTCCGAGGGGAGGCCTCTTGAAAGGTCAGGGTGTAACTCCCAATCTCCTCGTCCGTTTGAAAGATGGACCGACTCAATGAACGAGTTCTGGTGCCTCAGTGGACCCCTCGAAATTCAAAGCCACTGTCACACCCTCTTCCCCGCTGCCAAACCCAACCGCGTCCGGATTACGTGCCGATTATGTTTCCATCTCGCTTTCTTTTCAAGTCTCGGCGTCCAATTACCCAACGTCAGGCTGGGATGAAGGACTGAGGATCTCTTCTCACCAAGCCAGCGCTGAGTTGATGATCTCTGGCATCCCATTCATACCGGTTCCGTCGGCTGCAATTTTTCGTTTTCCGTTCTCATCATGTTGAACGATATTATTTAACATTCAATCCCCCCCCATCAGTCCTTACCTTACACACTATCCCCCTTCCTCCCTCCCTACCCACCGTCTGCCCCATCCGCGTATAGTGAAGTCTCGCCTTCGAAGCCTCGCTCCGTAGGATTTCCAAATTCGGAGAGCTCTCAGCCGACGCGGACAAGTGTCAAAGCGCTGAAATTCCAACGAGGCAGAAGTGCTTCCTTTAACTGAGGACGTACCGCCAATCCACCTCATCTCACCACCACCCCTGGTGCGTTAGTCATCCCATGCCCCGTCCTCTCTCCCGCCGCCTCTTTCCGCCTGGGAGCTTCAGCCTTCTTTGCCCGTCGAATCTTTCACGCTCACCAAACGGCCATCCGCCATCTGTGGTTTGCGTGCGAGGACGTTCGTTGGCACTTTCAAGCAGACCTGGCAAGTAGGCGTGAGGGATGTACAGGGGCGTTAACCCGTGGTTACGAGAGGGTGAGGTGAGCGCTTTTGGAGGGGAGGATGTGTAGAGGGTGATGAGGCCGAGGACCCGGGAAGACGGCTGTGGAGAAAGACCAACGACATGGACGATGTGGGTACAGGGTTCAGGCTGGATTTTTGAAGATGGCTACGGGGTGGTACCCATCCTTCCCTTGCAACGGGAGTCGATCTAATGCCGGCCCCTCATACCTCTTGAGCACGACATGGAAGAGAATTCCTTAAAATCGCCACTCACCTACGTCCTCTTCCCCGCTCGCAATCCCAACCGCGTCATTCTCCCTCTCTCCTCAACCTCCTCACACACCAAATCTCAGAACCCGTCACTTGTTGGAGTGTCATAGTGACTATTTAATCATAGTGTGCCGGGGGTATTTTTGGCGAGCGAATGCGATGCGTTGAGGTGAAGGTTGAAGGTCACATTTGTGGACATCACGGGGTCTTTGTGCTGACATTCTGCACCATCGAGCGCTTATCATGGCACATCATCCCTTCTTTACTCTTATCGATGGGCGAGTGCGATTCAAGGTTCCTCAAGTCAACGACACCCAGAATAACAAATCTTTTTGATGACGATCTTGAGCAGTAAGAACTTTCTTATTTGGATGTCAAACAGTTTACCCCAATTCGACCATGTAGCTTTGTCGAAAACATCCAATGTCCTTTTCACAAGGGAATCATTTATTATTCCCGAGGAACTACGATATTTGAGCACAATATTTATCGTAAACACGAGGTATACTATACTTCCATGCTACCCACCGAACTTGAAGATGATGATCAAGCTGATGCTGTAACCGCTAGCCACGAATTCTTAGCCCGCCATCATATGAAGGAAATTTCTTGAAGTTTAGACTCATTCCAATTGAAAGGAATAGGGTCTTACTCATGAGACGGTTCGAGAGCGACGAGGAATGGTTTACCGACGAGGAACACCCTAGCGATGAGGAATGGCCTAGCGACAAGGACGAGGAATTGTCTACCGACGAGGAATGGCCAAGCGACGAGGAACGGCCTAGCAATCCTCCACTGATTTTTGAGCCTAACGAAGTATCACATTTTGAACTTTCAATTCACGAAATCTGTCACTACCGCGTTGGCCCTGCTCTGTGGACCTACCACGGGGATTCGGGTAAACCAGATCTCATGATCAACGACTTAAAGTCACTGAGATCACCGACGGACATTTTGGGCGTTACATTTGACAATAACTGCATAACTCAGATAAAGCTATTTGCAATGGAATTTGGTGATGGCCGTTATCGTCACCTTCTGATCGATGAGGCTGAGCTACTTCACTTGCGTAGCAGGATGGAGCTGGGTTTGTAGTAAATCTCCTGGAAATATTTGTCTCCGAGTTAACACATCCATTTAAAGGTGCCATTGGATGTTCTCCCAATGGGTGGATTCTCGTCGTGAGACTTCCTGATGACGAAACGATCGGGATGTTCCACTCCAGCTCAGCCAATACTGGATTTAATCTGGTTAGCCAGGTGCCAATTCCCCAAACTGGCCCAGTACCTTACCTTGTCTTTTTCCCACCACCTGCATTTTCTGCCGATGGGTCGAAGTTCGCTGTTGCTGCAAAGGATGGCACGGTGTCTGTTTGGGATGTTCGAAATAAAACCCCCTTCGTGGTAAAAGAGCCTGATCGCGAGAAGGATGATATGCCTTCTCTGCAATTTAGTAGTGGAACTCTTGGAAGAGAAGTTTTGGCACTTGTAGGGGTAAGTCAACATTGCTTTGGCGTTATTTTCTTCATGCTGATTAAATTACTGGTAGGGCAGAGGTGATAGGACTACCCTTATTCATCTCATTGACCCAAGATCATTTGAGATCGAGGAGACACTCGACTTAGCTCAAAGTAACCCATTACTAGGAACGCTAGGCCCACTTTTCTTCGATCCGAACGGTGAAACGATGTATGCTGAGGGGAATGGAAGACTTTATGAATGGAAACTACAGGAAAGAGAGGGTCCAGAGTGGTGGCTTGGTGAGGGGTACGACGCCTGAATTGGAAGTTACCACTGTGCAACAACACGGACGTGTGGCAACTTGCCAAGTCTGTGTTACTCCTTAAAGCCTGTAGCGTACTTACTATAAAGTCAGCCATTCGTCAATCAAGGCTGTAGGAACTTACAAAGAAATCACCATATGGATTTTAGCTGAACGGCAAAGACACCCTTTTTCCTGCATAGACTTCGGCAGTCTCAGCCTGTCTTCTCGTGCCTGCAACGTACCGGCACCTGCAATACCATTCTTTGCAACGGGTTTTTACTTGATCCAATTTCAGTCTCTTCTGAATCTCCTTCACGCTTTTTTTGCTTGAACACTCGTTACTTATAATAATAAACTACAAACGGCGTAATATAAAATATTCTTGTTGAGGCAGACATACTACTCCCCAATCCACCATTCCGGACCAGGCTCATTTCTCCGTAGGTCCCACTCATAGAGTGTTCCGCCATGTTCAGCGTACAGAGTCCCCCCGCTTGGATCGAAGAAAAGCGCACCCATACGTATGTACCTTCCACGTTCTTCGAGCCATTTTAATTTCAACGGAAGAATTTCTTCCATCTCAAACGATGTTGCATCGATCACATGAATGATTGCAAAAGGGGAGAAATTATCGCGCTAAGGATTCAGAAGAGGTAGGAGTAGATATCAGAATATGAATATCAGACGCACCTCTACAAATACCAGAGCTTCTTTTCCTGAATTTCCACTACTGAATTGGAGATATTCTACATCCAGGCGACGATAGTCAGAATGTGGGACATTCATGATTGTCTTTAAAGGAACTTTGCTTCGGGTGTCCCACACAGACACTCTTCCGAAATTCATGGCCATAGCAAACTTGAGCCCATCGGCAGAAAATGCAAGTACTGGTGCCTGGAGAATAGGAGATCTTTTTGAGACTCTGGGGACTGGGATCGACATGCGGGAGACGAAGGAAAAGTTCATGTTCTTTGGACTGCCAGAATTTGAATAGTGAATGTCAACCGTTTCGTTGTGTCGTCCTCCCTCAAAATCCACATTTAGGAGAATGTGCCTGTCAGGGGATAACATGACTTGGAGAACAAATTAGAGGTGGTTCAATGACATGAAAATTTTGAACAAACCGGGACTATTCTCCCACTTCGACTTGAGCTTCAAATCAAAATCTATTCTCCCGGACTCAATTAGAGGAAATTTATCCGGGGCGTCAATGTCAGTAGTAGTAGAGATGTCGAACAGCTTCCAATGGTTGTCAAACGGCACCCCAAAAGTAATTCCCAACGCATTTTCAGTGGATTTTATCACCTCTAAATCATTAGTATCGAAGTGATCATCAACGCTACCGTTGAAAGACCACAAAGCAGGACCAACGCGGTGATCAGAGCGGATTTCATGGATTGATAGGTGTAGATAGGGGAACCTGAAAGTTTTCTTTCCGAAGTACTTTGCAAATAGTAGGATCCGATTGCCTTTGATGGGGATGAAGAAAATGTCTACTAAATCCCGCGATGGATGTTTCGGGACAATGATTCGTGGCTTGAAGGCAAAGTGAGTTGTATATGACGTTCTCAATAAGCGGCATGCGAATCAACCTCATGTTTTCCGGAGGAATGGATGTTGTGCTCCAATATCGCATCGTCCCAGATATAATAAATGATTCCCTTTCGAAGAGGACAATGAAGGCCTTTAAGTTGAGGAGGTTCGTAGCCTGTGAATCTGCAAGGTGAACACTGAAAGATGGGTATTCAAAATTCAGGATATGTGTATACAAACATGCTCACAAGTTCAAGTTGGAGTCAACGATGGTGGTCTTTTTGGGAATTCTTGACTTCAACAATGGTGAAGGCGGTTCATCCGTTGGTGAAGGCGGTTCATCCATTGGTGAAGGCGGTTGATCCACTGGTGAAGGAATTTCATCCGTTGAGCGCGGGTAAGAATACGGAAAGAATGGTGCGATTGGTGAAGGCGGCTCGTCCATTGACGGCTGGTGAGAATACGGAAAGAGCGGTGCTTTGCCATATAAGCGCGGGTTGGGACGACTGAGCTTGTCGGAGTCAGAGGGCGGTGTCGTTTACCGTAATTTGCCGATAAGGGTCCAACCTAATTTGAGGCTTTGCAACTGAAGCGCTGAAAACTCTAGGAAGACTCTCTACTTGTCCTCCCTGTCTATCATGGACCTCCCAATTTGAAATAATAGGATGCGCTTGCCTTTCAAGTTGATGGAAATGAGCACAAACTCAGACGACAGATCTTCTGCGATGATTAGTACACTGCCTTGAAGAAGGAAATCTTCAATCTTAATCTCAATATAATTTTCCTTCTCAATGAGTAGCAGGTAAATGACGAACCCAAGACGAACCTTGTACATGTGCTTTCTGGAATAAGTAAGTCATGTTCAAAGATTGTATCCCTTGGGCGATAATACATCGGATCCCCTTTCGAAGAGGACAATGAAGGCCATTGAAGATGTAATCGCTCTTCACCGGCTTCACCTGTGACGGTTGAACTATGTAGCGCATTGGCTGCTGAGAGTGGAATTGAGTGGGCGATGTGCGCATATGGCGCTCAATATCCAACGCGCACATTTGGCGCACATCGTTGATTTTTTCCCATTGAGTTCGCATTTTGCCGACAACGCATCTTAGCCTCTTCATCCGATTTCACTTGGAGGTGCGAGCACACAGTCTCTGACGAGCTGTGGTTCGCGATGACTCTCGGGCTTTCTATCGATGTCGGTGCCTGCTCGGGTTTTTTCGTCTAGATTTCGCTGGCAATCACCAATGGAGTTCAAGGAGTCCGCGCCCACGTTTGTCACCAATACGCACTTTGCTTCGGTTGGAGATGTTCATGGAGGGGATGCTGGGTTTGGAGTGTGTGTGGGTCTAAGAGAGAGAGAGCCGGAATTATCGCACTGCCAGATATCAAAGACATGGGCATCGTGGCTCTGGTACCTGACCAAAAATCAGGCAAGCTCGAAGAGCTCTGTAGTTCCCGTTTTATGGGCTCTGGAAGCAGCAGCAAGAGAAGGCGTCCACGACGGGTTCTTCAGTTGGGCAAGATCCCTCACCTTCCTCGCTCTTTGGCTGTTTTCGCGTCTTTTCATGGTTGTTGAATAACACTCAACCGTACCCCATCTCCAGTTCCTCAACGGCCCAGCCTCTGGGGTACTCAAAGACGGGACGCCGAGAACGAACGAGAACAACTTTTCATTGAACATGGACGTTATTACGTGGGAAGATGCTTCCCTGCCAACACGCCACCCACAAGCGTCGTTCCACGCCCCGCCATCTCTCCCGCCGCCTCTTTTCCCCCAGGAGCCTCAACATCATCCACGCCTCGACTGTTTCTACCCTCACGAAACAGCATCTGCGTTCTGCATGCGAGGAAACCAATCGATGAATTGGTGATGTGCCGACCAATGGGGAGCTGTGAGGGTCGTGAGATGGTGAGGCGAGAGATGCTTTTCAAGGGAGAATTTGCGGAGCGAGGATCCAGGAAGATGGAAAAACCAGCACAACAGATGATGAGGGTAGTTTCAGGCTGGTTTTTGAATGAATCTCTCATTCTCTTTCAATAGGAGTCGAGCACATGCCGCTATCGGAGAATCACAAAAGCCACCACATATGCGCTCCCTCTTTCAAAAAAATTGGTCATCTGCATTCTGCATGCGAGAAGATATGTTGGCTCGTCCGCGTAGACCTTGCAAGTGGTCTTGACGAGCGACGGGGAGGGAAATGGACCTGTGAGGAGGATTGCGAGAGGGGGAGGTGAGAGCGCGCTTCTGGTGGGAGGTTGTGTAGTGGGAGGTGAGGCCAAGGAGCTGGGAGGATGGCCATGGAACGGAGAGGCCGGGTTTTTGCAGACGGTTACGAATGGCCTTCAAACCCCTTGGCACGGATGCAAGAGAATCTCTCAAAGCCGCCACTCACGTACTCCCTCTTTTCCGCTCGCTATACCACATCATTGTCCCTCTCTCACCCAAATTCTCAGAACCTGTCCCCCGTTGCCACGTCGTCACGAAATCACAGAGCTGATTATCATCACAGAAGCTAACTCTTACTCGCCGGACAACTACCTGCACGATAACAAACTCAATCGAGGCAACCCGTCCAATCTTTGCTCACCCTACAACTCATCCGCCTTGCCTTACATTGCGCCGGAGTTTGGAGGGGCTTTTGCGCATCTCGACTTTGGCTGCCCTGACTCTTCCATCCACACGACAATACGTTCGCTACTGCGTGAGGTGTAACCCAGTGGTGTCCGTCCACATATCGGTTCATCGCGTCTCGTGGGAATTGACGTTCTCACTGAGCTTCGCGGTTTTTCACGTTGGCCCCTTCTACCATTTCTTTGATTCACAGGGCCGACTTCGTCACTTTCGTTTGACTTGGATTGTATCCAGCTTGGGTGTTCACTTTAACATTGACTTCTGGCCCATCTGCCGCGTGTCGCGTCCATGTTCCTTCTCTTTCAATACCATACGGGCCTGCTTTGATTTGCAAGGCGCTGTATCCTGTACCTTTACCTTTACTTGACCCATGGACCTCAGCCTCGAAATCGCGTACTTGATTGAATCACCTATGTTCTTCACTATGCATTGTTTCGCGTATCATTTCATCAACCTTTGCTACATCCCGACAGTGCTAACGAAACCCAGATAACAAGTAATAATATAATGTAGCACACGCGATGCGCGGCTAAAAAATGCCTTCAATGTCGAATACAGAAATGAAAGTTGAGTCCCAAATGAATCAATGTGTTTGTTGGGTGAATGATGGATGAATTTAATGAGGTGTGATGATTGAATGAGTCATTGAATGTCGTCGAATTAGGGCATAATTCTAGAGTGGAGAGTGTATTGAATAGACGATGAAAAAAAGAAGCGATGAACGTACATAAGTCGTTATCTCGGAGAGAAACTCAAGCAACGACGCAGTACGCGTTGTTCCCGCTGCCACCGTCATCGGCGTTGGTTGGGATATCACTGGAGCCAGAGACGGAGGCGAAAAAGATGGCGAGGGTGGTGAAGGAATCCATGAGAGTAATTTCGGGAGAATGTGAAGAACAGTGAGTTCAGAAGATGCTTTGGACGCGGAGCAGCCTGGATAGTGTGGTTGAACAGTGCTCCCTTTTAAACTCGACGGTGGCCTTGAATCTGGTGCTCCGAAAGACTAGAATAGATATTTCGACATACTATTGTCAAAACCAAAATCTGCTAGATCATGAACATAGAACAATAAAAGGCAACATTCCGCCGAGAAAACGAAAACAATAAACACCCTAATGACGTCACGCGATCTTTAATTTCGTTTAGACGCCCGTGGTCTACGCTCAAAAGTTATTCTATAAAATAGTCAAATCAATGCATCGCGGCGTTTAACGACACAACAATCGTGTAATCAACTGTTTTTTGCCTTTGTCAAAACTTGACAGTTGGGAGTCATGAGGGCGAGGATCAGGGGCCTCGTTGGGGCCTCGGTGAGTTAAGAGGTGAAGGCGAGGGGTGGAAAAAGAGTAGAGAGAAAGGTGGAATCCATCAGGAAAATCACAAATCTGTGGCAGGTCGTGATCCCGTGGCGGAGTGTGGCCGGAGTGATGGATCTGGCACCACGCGGTCCACACCGCCATGATTTTGATCTCCGGATAAATTGAGCCACGCGCGTCACAATAATCGTTCATGCGACAGATTTGTTGTCGCATGTGTAAGTATCGATCACGCGACATGTTGAACGTCCGAACTTGGAAATTTTTGTACTTGTGCAATGTGAACTTTTCCTCCACTCTCCGACTCTTCCCGCCAATCTCCTTCCTTCTCCTCAAGGGCTTCCAGTCCCCCTCCGCTGCGTCGCCGCCACCATCAACCACTTCGTTCGGTAACCCGCTCTCAACCACCACTGCACACCAATGACAACAACAACGACCTACCCAACGACAACAACAACGACCTGGCACATCAACGGACGTGCCACGTCCACCAGACGGTGATGACGCATGTCGTTGTCACTGTCCGTGTTATCGAGGTCAGCTACTCAAACCCCGTCCCTTTCTCCTCTTTCAATACAAGACTCAGGGGGCGACGTTGCTGTCGGTGACGTGGCAACCAAGAACGGACCAATGTTATAACAAACGACGGGCAACCAGGTGAGCCATCTGACTTCCCTCCCCTCTCCTTTTTTGACAAGAGAACCAGGTCATCGCCAGATTCTTCGTGACAACATTCAAGGTGCTTTCTCTCTACAACGCTATGCACAGTCATACTCACACTTGTCTAGGTATGCCACGTCGCTGACGGCGATGTAGCCAACAACAACCATCATACGACCGCCCCCAATCAATCCCCCACAACAACGACGTGGCAATGCCATGCCACACCACCTCCAACGATGCCCTCAACTACAGCCAACGCCAACGGCAAAGCAGGATCGCCCACAAACTGAGGCCACCACCTGAGGCGAAGCAGCATCAGCCAAATTCGACCACGACCATCCACGCGAAGGATGAACAACACCCACGAACGGAAGCGGACTGCGACGAGCCAAGGTGAGGCACCCCACTCATCGTTCTAACACAGATCCCAGGTGTCATGTCGCTGTCAGCAACGTGGTAGCCGAACGACGAATGTCGTTCACTGTTGTGTATTTAAAACACGATGGTAAGTATCTGCCGTTCCACATTTGTCCCAACCCACACTTATGATGTTTTGCATTTGCTATCCAATCGACTTGGAATGTACGCGAAGACGTCAGCGTCGGTGCACATAGTACGATGGCTGACGTGACTTGGACGTGACGAGATAATCTGGTAAGTCGTTGACAATGGATTGAGCCGTTTCGTGATTGCTTACCGTGATTGGGCACCAGCAGCTTGGACGTCGACAACATCAGACATCTCGGGAAAAGTTGGTTGTTGGGAACACGGGTGGGTGGATGGTCGAAGGTCGCTGAATTGCTTTCTACATCAGTACTCAGTATTTACATGGTGTTTCTGTACGTTGTATAGTAATACAAAAAAATAATTTTTCCTGTGGCATTGATTGGGCAGTGTGGTGCAATAAATAGTTCAGAAGCTAGGTTTGTGGCCCCATAATAAAATTGTGATGAGATTGTGGTGCCACGAACGATTGTGGTGGGTCAGTCGCCACCACAAGTATAATGTCCCCATCCCTGTTTGTGAGAGTGTGGCTGAGCGTGGTTTGAATGAGAAGCGTGGTGCCACACGTGCCACACGTGATGTGATTTTCCTGATGTCACCAGTTTATTGTGAATGGACGGGCCGTTGCTGCCGTTTCTCCCTGAGGCCAGGCCTGACCGGATGACCTCCTTGGCAAACTCACACGAATACGACATGGATCGACATATACACGCAGCGCACAGACCGGAACGGCGCATTTGCGCAACTTGAAATGAGTAAGGAGCATTGGAAACTTTTGAAACCAGTTGCAAGCTAACACCTCAACCGCAGAGATTAGTCTCATAACGTTTTTTCAAAATTTCAAGTTCTCGCCCGCTGATGATGAGAGATTACCTGGAACCTTACACGGATCATTTCTCCTTTTGTAAAGGCACCTGGCGGAAGTGAGGAGAAGGGGCTTACTCTTGTGGTCGAGATTACAGAAAAGCCACGAGTATGACACGAAGTGATATCTTAAAATATAGACTGAACGTTCTTCAAAATAAAAACCTAAATTAAGGTTGCAGACCAAGAAGCACCACAAGACCGCTGCGATGGATAATTTCAAAGTACAATTTCTGCGAGTCTTCCTTTTCCCCATCTTAGAAAAGCCAGAGCCACAGACCCGTGACCATGGAGGCAACTGAGGCTAAAATGCCCCCAACGGCAGGAGCGGTTGCGGTTGCGGCGATAGACGTACAAGTGGAGAATACGCCGCAGGTGAAGGCGCCGTAGAATGTGGATTGGATCCAGGCAGCCGCAGACCCTAGGGGTGTAAGATTTAAATCATTCCTCTGATCGCTGAGTCGACGTGTTGGTGAACTCGCACAACCTACCAGCAACAATGCCACCTGCTCCGAATCCTAGTAGGGTCAACAGGCCTGTCCCTGCTGTTATGAGTAGCGCCAGAGCGCCTCCTGCTACCAGCGCGAATCCGACAGATTCTGAGGTACATGCTCAGTCAAGGAGGGCCAGCTAGGGGACGAAAAAAGGAAAGCTTACTTCGAAGGAAACGGAGCCACATTGCGGTCGTAGTGATTGAGGGCAACTGGGGGCGTTCAAGAGCTAGGCGATTTCAATCTCACGAATGAGTATTTATACCTTCTGCGGACCGACGACGGAAATTAAGTGGACACGAGTCAATCGCCATCGGTCGTGAGATTCAGAAGGTTCCGGCGCCAGTTCCAGTCGCTTCTACCACGGAGCGCTCATGATGAAGAATATCGCTATTTTGCGAAATCAATGGTTTTGGAATTATATTGGGTGGAGATGTCTGTCGGTCGGAAGGTCGTCTTTTTTTTGCGGCTAAAAATCAATTAAACCTATCACTGTCGGCTGAACAGTTGGTCGAAATAGCACAGTATCGCAAATCAACCTATGAAGAGACGCGTCAACTTGTGGGATTTTTGGTGAAACCGCATACTTACCGACAGAGGTAGGGCGCAGCAGGCAAAATCCCTGAAGCGTAAGGGAACATTCCCACATCGCAGCAGGTCGCCCTTCTTCTATCCACCCGCGACCATGGTGGGAAAGGATCACGATCTTCTGTTCCACAACAGGCAGTCATAATAGATACGAAAACGCGTCGCCGAAGGTGCTCTGTGGTATATTCGAGTCGGCTTGAAACTCTCGTTGTGTGAATCCTGCGACACCGTCAGCTCGGAAGAAAATATATCAGTAAGTACGGAGAGACGAACTCACAAGCGCTACATATAGCCCGATTCGCTCCCGTAAACGAAACGCTTTGCTGCCGCATAACGATAAGCAACGGGTAAGTGATGGAGATGTATAAACCCAGTGACCTACCCTCCGCCAGTTCTGACTCGACTTTCTTTGCTTGCGATCTAAACTCAGAGCTTCATGTCCCCTTGCCAAGACAGAGTATCATTCAAAGGGAAAGCCGACGAGGCGGGTACCACACCTTCAAACACCTCCAGGGAGTCACGCCTACAAGACTCTGCAACTTCATGATACGTGCTGACTTGGATCGCGGCGTTTGAGTTCGTGGTCAGGATTCCAAGAAGGTCAGGCCTCAGGCCTCATGATCGGAATTCAGTGTCCGAGAGGGTCTGTTGGTGTGACGGTACAATAACCTCAGGCTCGGTGAATGACTATGCACAAATACCTGCCATGGCCCATGTAACCATCTTGGATCCTCCCATATGAGCTGGCTTTTGTAGCTCTTCAAAGCTTCGTGTCGAGGCGGACGGCTGACAAAGTTGAAGTTGGAGGCTGCGCGTCGTGGTGCCGTCGAGAGTCGCGGTCATGGTGTGATGTCGGACTTTGTATCTAAAACTTTCCCCCCATCCTGGGCCACCTTCCCACTCGGAACGACGTTGGAACAACCTGCCTCGGTGTCACTAGAAGCAAATGAAGGGCGAGGAAGCTTCCAAGACGCGAATTTTGGTCCAGTCGACTACTTGCTATGCATCGGCAACCGTCACCATTCCCCCGTTAAAGTTCTTTCTCATCTCTTGTCAAGTGAACAATGTGGGCCTCCGGACGCTAGTGGACCTAAGCTTCCCCGCTTTAAACCATGTTCTGTTCGTCTCCATTCTCTTCACTAATATCATTGCTAATCTCGTACTCTACTCCCAGGGTCCATAAGCTCGGAGTCCTTAACCATTCAAATATCCATCTGCAGCTCTCATTCGCGCTTCTGTGGATAGTTTCGCCGTGCTCCAAGGCCCCTCTCCGGTTCCTCCTTCGTTAAAGAGCACCTGCCACGTCGTGCCACATCCGCACGGCACTGCGTCGGATGGTGGATGTCTTATTTGACATCTGGCAGCTTCGGACTCCCATCGTCGTTCAGATGCTTGGCCCTCTCGTTGGCGAGCCCTTGACATTGACCAATGCGCGAGCAACCCCCGGAGGTTCGTTTTAAAACGACTACAAGTCAACGATGTCTTCCAACAAGGCATTCTTGGAGCCTTTATCATTCAAGAGTTTAACGAGGATGCAGGGAGGCTTTGGAGACTGTATTCTAAACTCTTACTAGCCGTTGCTTCCGCCGATTTGGACTCTGGGGCTATCACTCTTCTACTGGTGCATGGGTCGTCACACACCCCATCCTCTCTCCCTCCACCAGGGGCCTCAGCATTCTTCGCCCTCGAATGCTTTCACGCTCACCAAACGGCCATCTGTGTTCTGCGTGCGAGATCCAGAAGACTTGCTGGCGCGGTCACGTGGACCTTGTCCTATTTATCATTGCAAATGGGTGTGACCAAGGTGGGAGGTGTGACGACCGATGGGGAGGGACATGGACCCAGAGCAAGATTACGAGAGGTGGAGGTGAGAACGCGCTTCTGGAGAGAGAATATGTGGAGGCAGGACCCAGGAAGCTGGCCATGGAAAAGATCAGTGCAATGGATGACGAGGGTAGGCCAACTTTCTCTGTCGCACCGTCCTTCCCTTCTAACAGGGGTCGACTCAAGGCCGCCGGTGCTGGCCTCTCGAGCCTCATGAGCAACGCTCAATTTGACGTCAGAGAACCTCTTGAACTTAACTTCGAAGCAGCCACCAATGCCCAACTCTCCAAAACCAAACGGGCATCCGTTTTGCGCGCGAGGAAATTCACGTTTGACAGACCTTGCAAGGGGGCGTGATGACCAGTGGGGAGGGGCGTTGAACCCATGGTTGCGCTTTTGGAGGGGGAATGTGTAGAGGGTGATGAGGCCGAGGAGCCGGGAGGATGGCCATGTAACGGGGAGGATGGCATGGAACTGGGAGGATCGCCATGGAACGGGGAGGATCGCCATGGAGAAGACCAGCGCGACGGACGACAACGATAGGTTGAGGCCGGGTTTTTGCAGACGGTTACATTGCGAAGTCCTCTGTTGCGCCCATCCTTCCCTTGCAACGGGAGTTGATCTGATGCCGCCTGTGCTGTCCTCTCAAACCTCTTGAACACAGCACAAAGGAGAACCCCTCGAAGCCGCCACTCACCTACTCCCTCTTCCCTGCTCGCAATCCCAACCGCGTCATTCTCCCTCTCTCCTCACACGCCAAAATTTCAGAACCCGTCACACGTTGCACGTCGTCACGACTCGGAAATCACTGAGCTGAAATCATTAAAGAAGCTAAACCTTCGTGCTGCAAGGCAGGAGCTATTTACTTGTGCATCGGTGGGTATATGTCCCCTTCTCCAATTCTTACTTGCTAGTCAACTACTTGCACGATATCAAACTCAATCGAGGCGACCTATCCAATCTTTGCTCACCCCACATTTCATCTTCCCTGCCTTTCGTCGTTGACGATGTTCACACTGGGGTGTCCTGGGGCGCAGATGTTGGGGTGCGACATGCTCCGATCACCCCAAGCAAATCATTGAGGAATGACGCAACACCCTGCCCCCCGCACTCCCTCGTTGAAGGAGACCCCGTGGCCTGAATACCTGCCATATGTGTACTGTGAATCCCGCTCAGTCGACGTCGGGCTTGTGCGGGTGAGCCTCTTTCAATTGTCGTTTGGGATTGTTTCTAAGGGAGTCAGAGGCACCGCCTTTTTGAAATGGAGACCGGAGGACGGGTGCTTCTAGAGTCCTTTGGACGCGCAAGATGTTCAAGTACTCAGAGCCGTATCTATCATTCTAAACCCTTCCTCGACAAAACGGCTTCTTGACGGTGTTCTGGCGTCATGTCTCATGCTCGTGGGCATGCCGCTGGCTTTCTGGGGTTCGACAACATCAATGGAGACCTCGTTGGGGAGCTGAGTCCTCTTACATTACCTGTCTGGGCAGACCGAGTAGCAAGGCTGACGGTCTAAGCGTCACAAGGGGTCGTATCACCCTCACCTCCACCCCATTCCCCTGATCTCGACGAAACCGTGCACCTCGGCCAGACGCTTCGTACCCCCCTCCTGCACCCTAATAATCAGCGTGGCACAACTTGAACGCGAATCTCAATTCAGCACGATTACTAGTACCTTTTATTGGAGAATCAGTTTGTTTGCGGGGTTTTCAGGGGGGTACGTGCGACGCTCTATGGAGGGATTGACATTCGAGGAAAGATGGTGGAGGTAGGATTTAGGCTCAGGTTTGTAGAGGTGAAGGTTTAATAAAAATCTTTTCGGAACAGTGGAATACATCACGGGATCTGTGCGCTGATGATGCAACAATGAGCGCTTATCATGGACCATTGCTTCTTCCTGACTCTTATCGATGGGCGTGCAATGCGAGTCAAGATTCCTCAAGTCAAGGACTCCCAGAATAACAATTCTTGGCGATGACCATAAGTGAGAACTTTTCTAATTCAGATGTCGAACAGTTCATTGACACTAAAGTCAACTTTGCAGCGATCTACTTGTCAGAAACCTCCAATGTCCTTTCCGAAAAGGAATCATTTATTATTCCCGCGGAAGTGTAATGTTTGAGCACAATATTCATCGCTCTAGTAAGCATGAGGTATACCTTCATGCTACCGACCGAAAAGATGATGGACTCAATAATGTCCCCTCTAGCCACGGATTCTTGGCAGCGTCAAAAACCCAGCATCACTTGAATTAGATTTTTTGCGTTTCAAACTCATTCCAATCGAAAGCAATAGGGTCCTGCTCATGAGACTAGACCGGTTCCGGAGGGAAAGGCCTAGCAATGTTTCACTGAGCGCTTTCGAGCCTAACGAGGTATCACACCTCGAACTTTCAATTCACGAAAGCCTTCACCACCGTGTCGGCCCTGCTCTGTGGACCTACCGCGGGGATTCGGATAAACCAGATCTCGACGACTTGAAGCCATTGAGATCACCGACGGATATCTTGGGCATCACATTTGGCAAGCAATGCATGATTCAGATGAAGCTATTCGCAATGGAATTTGATGATGACCGTTATCGTCACCTTCTGTTTGATGAGGCTGAGCTACCTCACTTTGATCGCGGGATCGCCCTGGGTTTGTCATAAATCTGCTGGAAATACCAGTCTTCTCCGAGTCTGACAACCCAGTTAAAGGTTTCAATGCATATTCTCCTGATGGGCAGATTCTCGGTGTGAGACTTCCTGACAAGGAAGCAATTGTAATGTTACACTCCGGCTCGGCCAGTACTGGATTCAATTTGGTTACCCAGGTGCCAATTCCCGATACTAGACCAGTGCGCAACCGTTGGTCTTTCCCACCACCTGCATTTTCCGCCAATGGGATGAAGTTTGCTGTTGCAGCATACGATGGCACCGTGTCCGTTTATGATGTTCGAAATAAACTTTCATTGATGGTAAAAGAGCCTGATCGCGATGTGGGTAGTGTGGCTTCTCTAAAATTTAGTAGTGGAATTCTCGGAAGAGAAGTTTTGGCATTCGCAGAGGTGAGTCAGCTTTGCTTGGGCATCATTTTCTTGTTGACTAAGTTGCTGGTAGAACAGAGACGCTATCATTCGTATTGTCCTCCTTGACCCAGCATCGTTTGAAATTGAAGAGACACTCAGCTTGGATCGAAGAAACCCATTACTAGAAGCGAACTGCAAGCCCAGAGAGCTGATTAAACTTTTCTTCGATCCGAACGGTCAAATAATGTATGTTCAGGTGAATGGAAGACTTCATGAATGGACGCTGCAGTCAAGAGAGGGTCCAGAGTGGTGGCTCGGTGAAGAGTTCCATATCTAAGTTACCTTACCACTATACAACAATACGAACGTGCTATCCCCTGATATCTAATCGTTATCTGTAGGACTCCTTCAAGTTGAAAGTGTAAATCTTGTTAAATAATTATAGCATCTAGCTGGAAAGCACACGGGATATGGAACAAACTAGGAAAACCGAATTTGATTGCCCGGAATTCTAGATGTTGCGGCGGCGTGCAGGATACACCCTGCTAAGGGTCCGGAGGGATGACCATTTAAGACAACTTTAAGATCGACTTTCCTCGCTAGGCCTGGCGTTTGTCAGAAGCTGACCTTGACCCTTTCCGTGGGTGGATCATCGCGAGTGGTGCCAGCTGATATTTTGAACTGTATCAGAAGGGGTAAGTAGTATTTTTGAAGATGTGAGTGTTTTTTTGCCACCTTCTCTCGTTTGCACCTGCAGCTTGCATGCAAATCAGTCTCCATCACTGGTGTGAGTCGTCCACGTCTGCCGCTGGTGGGAATTGTCCGTTCAGTGATGTGATCGTCCGGCGCTAGTTTATTTCCCGAGTATGGCGCTGATCAAAACATATTATTGTTTCACGAAGGAAGGGCTCCAGAAGACCCGATTTGCAGCCCCGAGTGATCAATGCATCCGAGGTCGTTCTTGGGAAGTTGGAAGGAGGCGTTGATCCTTCCCCCCAATTGGAACTCCTCGCAATAGTCTTGATGGCTGAAGATTGAACCTGAAGAGAGGTTGAGAAAGGATGAGAGCGTCTTTGAAATTGACGTACCTACCTAGTAAGTTTGCACAGGCATGTACCTCCCTCCCACTCCGAATCCAACCCTCATCGTGCTCCGTCTGGGCTCTGTTCTTCGTTACTACTTGTTATAGTTCTCAATTAAGATTTGAACTTTAACGCCTAACCTGACGCACTGGCAGGTCTTGTGCGGATGGTTAACGGGGGTCAATACTGGGTAATAAACGATCCCACATACATGGTTGATCGCGACGCTTCGTCTTCACATGCTCCGAGTTTTGATGGCACTCGAAGGACTCGCCAGTCGTCCATGCTGAGGCTTACATTGGAGACTTTGAGCAAGTTCAGTAGCGGCCATGGGTTCGGTTCACGTAAGACACTTTGGTCTGATGATTGTTACTCCGTGAATAGAACAACCCAAAATTACACCGGGGACAGAGCTCTCAAAGCTCAGATAATTCGCAGAGACATGCAGGGCGCCCGTATTCAGCCCACTGCCGCCTGTTGATCTCAACTCTTCCGTGTGTGGTCATATACGAACCACGCACTGGGTGATTGAGTGCCATAGCGGAGGAAGTGCTTCGTTGGTTGCTGAAAGTTGACGTTTCGTTGTGGAGAAATGCGGAAGAGGTGGGAGAGCATCAGAGAGGGCGTAAAGCTCTTGAATGGGTGGATGAAGTGGTTCGGACGCTCGGGTGGGGAGACAGAGGCGGAAGGAGACGAAAAGGGACAGTGTGAGTGGGAGGTCAGAGCCAGTGGGACGCAGGATGACAACAATCGCCCAGAGACAGTTGTCGTTAGGATTGTAGAATGCGCATGGTTGTTCCAGAAGGAGATCATGATCGTGTGCTCCTTTAGGCGCAGAAGAGGGAGGGAGACACTGAGTAAAATGGGAGGATAGATGAACGAGTAGCCAACGTGGATAGAGGGAGAAGGAATGTCGTTTGGGGGACGGTGAATGATGGAGCCATCTGTCACTGCGTCAATGCGGGAGAGCCGAAGACGCCAATCAACCAGCTATCTCTGAGAGTAGATCTTCCCCAGGACGAGCTGGTAAGCCGTCTGCAAGAGCGGGTCAAGCTCCAAGCGTAGGAAAGATCTGCTGTCAATCTGCACAAACTTAGCTTCAACGCTAGGGTGATTCCACAGCAGAAACAACGTACGGTGATGCCCCTCCGCCAGCAGAGCGGCAAACCCACCATACTTCCAATGGCATCCAAACTAAACAGTCGCGCACCTTCAGTCAGGCTGCAACTCGCAGCTGAGCTCTCAAACTTCGAACTCGGCCAATTATCTGAGGGATGGGAGGATGGCATGTTCGTTGATACTGCCAATGAGCTGCAGAAAGGTTGAGTTTTGAGTTGAGAAGCTCGTTGAAGTTCAGAAAATAACTATGATGAGTCTCGTGATCTGACAAGCTTGGTCACGCGAAGCAATGCGGCAGCACTGTTCTTCGAGTCCGTATTCTCATCAGCCATCGATGGATGAACCTCCTTCACCATTGCTAAAGTCAAGGATTCCAAGAAGGACCATCCTCGTCGACCGCAACTTGTGAGGATCTTTTGTATATGTATGTGTCTAAGTTTGACTACCTTGCAGATTCACACATGACGAGAAATCTCGAATTTGCGACGTTCATTGTCCTCTTCAAAGGGGAATAATTTATTATCAGCGGGGAGGTGCGATATACGAGTACAATCTTCATTCCTCTGGAAAACATGAGGTATGGCTCACATGCCGCTCATTGAGAAACTTTTGGATACAATACTCACTTATATTGCCTTCAAGCCACGAATCGTCGTCCCGAAACATCCGTCGCAGGGTTTAGAAAAAATTCTGTTCATCCCCATCAAAGGCAATCAGATCCTACTATTCGCAAAGTACTCGAAATTTGAAAATGAGTCCCATCTGCACCTATCAATCCACGAAATCCGCTCCGATAATCGTGTTGGTCTCCTTATGTGGGTTTTCAACAATAGCGTTGATGGTCACTTCGATATTGATCATTGGGTGCCGATAAAATCTACCGAAAATGCATTGGGAATCACTTTTTGGGCACGATATAACGACCATTGGAAACTGTTTGACATCTCTACTACTGAAACTTGCGCCTCGGATGATTTCCCTCTGATTGAGTCCGGGGAAATAGACTTCGATCTAAACCTCAACTCGAAGTCGGTGCGCAAAAAGAGTCTCGGTTTGTTCAAATGTTTCATGCAGTCGCGTTGAACCTGCTCTAACGGTCCTCCAAGTCATACTATCCCCTGACCAGCACGTTCTTCTAAATGTGGATCAGAAGAAAAGACGACACAATGAAATTATTGACATTCACTATTCAGATTCTGGTGGCACAAACGGTATGAACTTTTCCTTCGTTACCCGCATGTCTATCCCCATTCCTCCAAAAACATATCCTATCCTCCGGCCACTACTTTCATTTTCTGCCGATGGGTCCAAGTTTGCTATGACCGTGACGGCTCACGGCAGGGTGTCCGTTTGGGGTATCCGGAGCAAATTTCCATTGAAGACATTCATGGAAGTCCCCAAGTCCGACAATAATGACGCGAATGTACGGTACCTTCAATTCAGCAGTGGAAAATTAGGAAAGGAAGCTCTGGTATTTGTAGAGGTACGTCTGATGTTCATATTCTGATATCTCTACCTTTCAAATAGGTGGTCTGAATCATTAGCACAATGACCTTTCCCTTCTTAATATCATTCATGTGATCGATGCAACGTCATTCGAGACGGAAGAAATTCTTCTCTTGGATTTAGAAGAGCTCAAAGAATATGATACGGACAGAGGGGTTGGTTCGCTTTTCTTCGATCCAAATGGGGAAACTCTATACGCTGAACTTGCCGGAACGCTATACGAGTGGGACCTGCGGAAAAATGAGCCTGGTCTCGAATGGTGGATCGGGGAATAGTAGGATGTTCGCCTCGACAAAAATACATTTTGTTACGCCGTTTGTAGTTCATTAGTAGTATGACTCGAGAGTGTTCAAGCAAAACAAGCCTGAAGGAGAAGAGACTGAAATGGGATTAACCTCGGTTTAGGTATCGGCAATGAAACCGCGAACACCAAGCCGCATTGGCAAGATTAAGATTTCAATAAAAATTGTATTAGAATCATGCATTCAACATTACATTATAGAAAGTCCAAGACCCAAAAGTGCTGAACAAAAAGTCCGATTCAGAGTGGAACGACGTCGAAGATGTCCAGAAAAAAAAACGGATATGAAATCACAAGCACAGACTATGACACTCGTCATCTTCAATAGGATCCTGGCCTATAAAAAGAACGTTTAAGCAAGTGAACATGAGCCAAAAACGAAGGCGACAGACGTGGGAGTGATAGTGGGCGCTGAGCCGTTGGGGTGGTCAGTAGAAGAGCACTAAAAATCGCGTCACAGAGATATAGATGCCATCAAACCGATACATACATCAACATCAGGGATGCCAGAAACTTTGGGTGTTCCATCGACGGGTGGTACAGAAGCGAGGACAGACGCTGCGGGAGAGTCGGGCGCGGGAACAAGTGGGACACCAGATGATGCGGGACTTTTTACAGATGCACTGGGATAGCTGCTAACGTTCGGCACGGGGACGCCTGTGGGGACTGCGGAATCAGTTGGCACGGGAGAGTTGGGAGCAGGGATGGGTTGTAAAAGTCCAGTTGGTGCTGGGTCGTTAACGGGAGGGAGGGAAGAAGAGGGGGTAACGGACGCTGGTTGAGCAACATATGGCAGATCTGTTGGCACTGAGCCGTCGACGGGTGCAGATTGTGGAAGCCCATGAGGTGAAGGACCTTGGGGTGGGGTTAGTCCAGAGCCAGATGGCGCGGGTGGCGTAGGGCCGTTGGAAGATGGGACGGAGGATGCTGGAGGGTTGCTCGGTTTTCCGTGGTTGGGAGCAGGGTCGCCTTGTAAAAGCCCAGTTGGACGTGCGCCATCAGCGGACGCAGGAGAGGTGGGAGAAGGAATAGGTTGTGAGCTGTCAGTGGGTGGTGGACCATTGGCGGGAGGGATTGAAGAGGGAGAAGCGTTGGGCGCGGGAGCGACGTATGGCAAATCCGTTTGTGCTGCTGAGCCGCCCTGTGCAGATTGCGAAGGTGGGGCGGGAGAGAGCTGGAAAAGAAATAAGGACATTAACATCGCGAGATTGGATATTTCTACTCACATCTTGTGGTGCGTCATGTGGCGTCTGAAGCTCTATGGATCCAGAAACTGCCGGAGTAGGGCCAGAAGGAAGTGCCGAAGGAAGACTGGATCCTGCTGAGGAGTTTGGTGCGGGAACATTTTGCGGAAGGTCATCTGGTGCAGTTCCAGGAAGGTCGGTCGGTGCTGAGCTGAGTGACGGAGGATAGGGGATGATAGGTGTTCCAGAAATCTTGGGCGCAGAATTCTGTGGCGCGTTTGGAGCTGGTCCATTGGGAGATTTAGGGACCTGATTGTCTTCTGGGAGGCCGGTTTTTGTTGGACTGTTGACTGGTGGGGGTGATGGGGAGAACGACGGTGTGGGATCCTGAGATGCAGGAGTGCCTTGAGGGGGAGTTCCTGCTGGCGAACCTGTAGGAGGGTTTTGTACAGGACCGCCTTGTGGAAGACCAGTTGGAGCTGCACCATCCGAAGGAACGGGAAGTGCGACCGAAGATGGGCCGTAGGCAGGTGGCGATGAATTATTGAGAGATTTGGGAACGGCATCACCTTGTCCTGGACCAGTCACCGGAACTGAAGGGGTGTTCTGCGGTGGCGAGTACTTTGGCGCTGGAGCACTCTGAGGCGGCGTATTCTCTGCTGGAAGGTCGGTTGAAGCTGGATCACTGACGGGAGGGAAAGAAGAGAATGAAGGGGGTCGCTTTAAGAAGGTGTAAGACATTAAATTTTCAATGGAGTCGAAGTTTACGTACCGAATCTGGAGTGCCGCTTTTTGCAGGAGGTTGTGGTGTCGAAACTAGTGGAAGAAGTTGAGCAGGTGTTGAGCCATTCACGGGCGTGGTAGAAGGAAAGGCGGTTGGGTGCTAAGAACGATTGTAAGTAACTTTTAGCGATATGATTCAATTTACGTACCGCATTTTGGATGTCACCGTCAGAACATGAGGTAGTTGGTGCGGGAATAGGACCGGCGTTTGCGAGATGAACTGCGCCCATTGCGAAAGCGATGAGTGTGAGGAAACGACCAATAGCCATTTACGAGATTTGAAAGAGAGGAGAGTAAATTGAAGGAGAGAAGGGGGTTGGATTGAGTGAGCAACTGAGCATCCATTTTATACCGACTCACTGCGAAAACTTCCAGCCGCAACTCGACTGCGCACAGAAAGAAAGCTGCCGGTAGCCATACTATACAGGCGAATTCCCGGCAGTGTGAAACACAATAAGTATCGCACAACGGTAAGGGTTGGCTAAGGGTTGGGAGTAGAAACAACACAACATCATGGAAAACGGGGAAGCACTCGCAAACTTTGATCCGTTCGTCGTCCCAAAAAAGCGTGATGCGAGTGCGTCCCTTCATAATTCGGCCCATCTACAATCGTAATGTGCATATCCGAAGCCATCAGCTACTGCGGAGGCGCGAGTAGGGAAATACACGCACATTTTGCATCCAGGATGCTAACGCCAAACAGAAACTTGTCCGGAGCTGCGGTTTAGAAGTTCCACGGGGTCTATCGGTGGTATGTGAGATTCAAAAGATGGATGGTAAGATTGAGTGTACGAACCTGTGTGCATGACGCCGCAACATCTATGCATGAGTTAAGGCCGAAGAAAACCTGCTTCGTGATTTGTTTGACAAGTCTGTGCCGTTGAAGACCAAGTCGAGTAGATTCTCACCCAGGACCTCCATAACATGTATAAGTGTGTACCGTTGGGCTTTTTGTGCTCAAACTATTGAGGAAGCCGATGACATGGGAATATCCGGGATGGACATGCGATGACGATGTAGGTGGGTTGGGGTTTGACGACGTAACGAGTCTCTCCCTAGTAATGTTGCTATGACTTGCAACTAATGCCTTTTTTTTCCAAGTAAGAAATTAGCAAACAATGTCAAGTGACTCAAGTTATGGATGGGAATATGTAGACTACTAACCTCGTCTTCAATGTCCTCCAAAAGCGCCTTGAAAGTTCTCTTCGAATTGAGCCTGCCACAATGGCAAATAGTACATAGGTCGATTGACAGGATGCACCTGTCGTGAGGTGGCTGTTAAGAGCGTATCATAAAACATACTTTGGGCAAGAACCAGGAAGATGTACCTCCGAGACTTCCTTCGCCACATTATGGCTCGCGTCCTTCGAGTCTGGAAGTCTTCCTGACGCGTGGAGCCAACCCGCTATGAAGAAGAATCGGAAAACAAAGCAAACTCACGTTTTCCTTGAACGGCTCGTCTTTCTGATGTTGCTGGCCCATACAAAAACGCCAGAATTTCATGCGTTACATGGGCTATGAGCCCTGGCGGTTACACCTGCAGATTGAAAGTCCAATCCAAATGGCCCCGAACGCGTTTGGTCCATGCGTGGCGCATGGGCACTAATTCAGATAGTATTCCTGCAAGGCCGAGAAGGGGCGATGGGGTTTCTGGTCGTGTTATGTAGGTGGCGGTAGCTGATCAAAATGTTGAACAACCAATGGCATCACCGGCCCGGCTTCCTTCCTTCAACCACACTCCACTACTTTCAACGTCAAAGATGCTGGACAGACGAGCAATGGGCAAATCCGTCTAATCCAACGTAGAACGCGCCAAAATCGTGCTTCAGCTCTCCAAGCAAGGCTTGGCTCTACTACCGGAAAACAGAACATCCTCAGACTCCGATCGATTTTACCAATTACCACACGGTGCTGAAGCCCGACGCAGCGTTCAAGCAGATCGACTATGTTGTGCGAGGAGGCTGCGAAATATGGGTTCGAGGTGAGTTCATGTTATTACCTCTTCCAGTTGCGATTTACGATTGATTTAATTTGAATCCACAGAGTTGTTGTGTAAATGGTAGTGTATTTTCAAATTTACACCCTCGGAACGCCTCAAAACCTACCTCACGACTGCAGGACACAGCCTAGTTCGTTCTTTCTCCCATTCCTATTCCTCTGAACCAACCTACACCCCCACAGTGAAGCATCACAAGCTATGACCGACGGCGCATTAGAAACGACGCCGCCTCCTATCCACCCCGCCCACCTACCGCCAAGTTTACCTCCACCTCAATAACGCCATAGCTGTCAGGCATCCTCACCCGCCAAGACATCATCAAAACCTCCTCCTCACGCCAGATCTATGACAAGAATCCCATAGAAATCCTGACTGCATGCGTATGAACTTTTGTTAGAATTCGTGGAAACGACCGACTGACGAACCATCTTGAAGTCCGAGCGACAAGAGCGCCGAACACGTCTGAACATTTGCAGAACCCCGTTAGCCTGAATGTGACTCGTCCTTTGAATGTCAATTCCGTTTACACAAAAATAACCTCTCATCAGATCATCAGCCATGAGGATAAGGCGCGGGTGATACATTGTGGTAATGCTTTCTGTTACTTTTCAAAGCATCTTCACAGCGATAGGTCGATTTTTAGCCGCAAAAAACGACCTTCCGACTGGCATCTCTCCCCAATATAATCTCGCAAAATAGTGATTTTCCTTATCATGAGCGCTCCGTGATAGAAGCGACCGAAACTGGCGCCCGAACCTTCTGAATCTCACGACCGATGGCGATTGACTCACGGCTGTGTGACAACTTAATTTCCCACCGCAGAAGGTATAAGTAAATGCGCAATCGTGAGATTCGAATCGTCCAACTCCTGTTGCCCCCACCCACCACGATCAAATGTCATTCCAGTTCCTTCAAAGTAAGCATTCCATTTTTCGTCCCCTAGCTGGTCCTCCTTGACTGAAGCATGTACGCCAGGGCTTATCGGACCCGCCCTCGTAACAGTAGGTGTTGCGACGCTACTCCCGGTAGCAGGGTTAGGCTTGTTGACCGTTCTGGGATTCGGAGCAGGTGGCATCGTTGCTGGTACGTTGTGCGAGTTCACCAACAGGGTTGATCAACTGCGTGATCAGAGGAATGATTTGAATCTTTTACCCCCAGGGTCTTTGGCTGCCTCAATCCAATCGGCAGTCTACGGCGCGTTCACGTGTGGCGTATTCGCCACCTGTACGTCTATTGCCGCAACCGCCGCCGCTCCTGCTGCTGGGGGCATTGTAGCCTCAGTTCTCTCTATGGTTGCGGGTCTGGGTCTGTGGCTCTGGTAAGATGGGGAGAAGGAAGATAGGCAGAAGTTGTACAGTTATATCATTGCGGCGTTTCTTGTGATTGGCTCTTAGCTTCAACTCCAGCCGCCTACATCTTTTTTCTTGATTTTCCATTATGCAATTTTTAGTTTCATTATGCTACCCAATTTCTACCTATATGTAAATGTATGCCCACCTATGCCGTGCTTGATGTGAAAGAACAGTGACAGACGAGTGAACAACTTCAAGTCGTGAGCGCGTGAGCCTCAATTCGTCGAAGTCCGTTGAAACTCCGACATCATGTGATCATGTTGAATTTTTCCAACGTGGAAATTCATTGTTCTTCCTTGGTTCTTCCCCCCCACCACCGATGGATCCAACTGAGAAGTTGACGAACGGCCTTCCCTCCCTCGACGAGCGGCCTCGTCCATCGACCAACGGCTTCCTCCTTCGCTCAACGAATGGTCTCCCCCCTTCCTCGATGAACAGTCTCCTCCCTTGGTTGTCATGTCATTGATGGCGACGTGGCCCTCGACGAGCCTTTTCTCTTTATGAACAGTCTCCTTCCTCCCTCGATCAACGGCCTTCTCGATGAATGGTTGCCTCCCTCCCTCGACAAACGGTCTCCTCTCCCTCCCTCGACAGACGTCCTCCTCTCCCTCCCTCGACAGACTGCCTCCTCATTCCCTCGACGAACGGCTTCTCTCTCCCTTTCCTCGATGAATGGTCTCCTCCCTCCCTCGACGAATGGCCCCCTCTCTGGACGAACGGCCTTCTCCGTCCCTCGACGAACTGCTTCCTCCCTCCCTCAATGAACGACCTCTTTTCCCAATGAATGACCTCCTCTCTCAACAAACGGTCTCCTCCCTTCCTCGACGAACGGTCTCCTCCCTTCCTCGACGAACGGTCTCCTCTCGTGCGTTAGGTAGACTGGCTCACGGAGCACCCTCCCTGGATGAACGGCCTCCTCTCTCGACGAATGGTCTCCATCCTCCCTCGACCATCTAGGTAGACTTGCTCACAGGGTAAATACTACTGTCGTAGCTGTACATTAGGATTATTGAACATGTTACTATGGATCATTGAATGTCTTTTTTTTTTTTTGCTTTCACTATCTTTACAAGTTATCTTTGTAAGAAATAATCTGGAAAGAATAAAAGGAAAGAGGCAGGAATCATACGGAAATCCAGTAGAAATCCATCCAAAATTACACTGTTGATTTCTTGTAATTACACCCAAAATTACCCAGGAACCGAATCAAAAATTGGAAGTTGAGAAATAGTGGTAATTTGAGGAATTTCGGACAAATTTTCTGCCATATCCCAGGATTTCCATTCTCCATTTTTCCTGATGCATTGTGGGTAACATGATACCCTGTGACAAATAGGTCGATTGAGAGGATACATCTGTCGTAGGTGGCTGTATGGTAGAGCAGGAAGACGTATCTCTGAGACCTCCTTCGCCATGGCATGGCTTGCGTCCTTTGAGTCTGGCAGTCTCCTGACGCCTGGAATATCAGGAAGAGAAGTTGGAAATCAAAGCAAACTCACACACTCAAAGCCAGAATTTCACCTGTTGAATGAGCTATGAGCGCTGAGCTCTCGAGCTTCAAATTCAGCCAATTACTTGGGAGATTAGAGGATGGCAGGCTTCGTAGAACAAAAAGCCAGTGGGCAGCCTGCAGGAAGGTCGAGTTTCGAGTTGGATTAAAGTTAGGTCCGACAGGCACTCTTAACTCCGACACGCGCGCTTAAATTGTTCTTTCCGTAATCTCACCACCCATCGATGGTTGAACCGCCTTCACCATTGCTAAAGTCGAGGATTCCCAGAAAGACCATCATGATTGACTACTACCTGTGAGAGTCTTTTGTATATGTATCTAACTTCTGAACACCATCGTTCACTTGCAGACTCTTCCAAGATGATGGAGAATGTGAACCTTCCGACTTTCATTGTCCTCTTCGAAAGGGAATCATTTGTTATAGCCGGGACGGTACAATATTCGAGCACAAAATCCATTCCTCTGGAAAAAATGAGGTTGATTCATATGCCAATCATTGAGAAAGTTGTGTATAACTCACTATGCCTTGAAGCCACGAATAATTGTCCCGAAACATCCGTCGCGGCATCTCAGAAAAATTAAGTTCATCCCCATCAAAGGCAATCGGATCCTACTACTCGCAACGTATTCGGGAGGGACAACCTATCACCTACTATCAATTTACGAAATCCGCTCCGATAACCGTATTGGTCCTATTCTGTGGTCTTTCAACAGTAGCCACGTTGATGCATACTTCGATATTTTTGGTTTGGAGCTGATAAAATCCACCAAAAATGCATTGGGAATCTCTTTTGGGAAGCGGTTCAATGACCATTGGAAACTGTTCGACATCTCTACTACTGGAACCGACGCCTTGGATGATTTTCCTCTAATTGAGTCCGGAAGAATAGATTTTGATCCAAAGCCCAAGTCGAAGCGGGAGTTCGAACGTAATCTCAGTATGTTCGAAGTCTTTATGTTGAACCTCCTCTAATGTGTTCTCCAAGCCAAACTATCCCCTGACAGGCACATTCTGTTGAATGTTGATTATGACCCTTACAAACGACACAGCGAAACAATTGACATTCACCATTCGGATTCTGGTGGCACGAACAATATGGACTTTTCCTTTATTACCCGCATGTCTATTCCCATTCCCAGGGTCTCAAAAACATTTGAGAACAGCCCACCATCAATTACATTCTCTGCCGATGGGTCCAAGTTTGCTATGTCTATGGGGCACGGCAGAGTGTCTGCTTGGGACATCCGAAACATTGAAGTTCCTTTAAAGACATGCATGGACTCAGTCCCAAAGTCCAACTCCTATGGTGCAGGTTACCTTCAATTCAGCAGTGGAAAATTAGGAAAGGAAGTTCTTGTATTTGTGGAGGTATGTCTGATGTTCATATTCTAATATCCCTCGGGTCTGAATCTCTTAGCATAAATATTCTCAGTCTCTTGCATTCATTCATGTGATCGATGCGACGTCATTTGAGACAGAAGAAATTCTTCCCGTAAAGTTAAAATACGGATTAGCAGTGTGTGCGCTTTTCTTCGATCCAAGTGGGGAGACTCTGTATGTTGAAGTTATCGGAACACTCTACGAGTGGGACCTGCGGAAAAATGAGACTGGTCCTGAATGGTGGATTGGGGAAGAGTAGTTCACCTCGACTCGGACAAGAATACTTTTTATTACACCATTTGCGGTTCATCAGAATAGCTTACGAGGGTTCAAGCAAAAGAAGCGTGAAGGAGAAGAGACTGAAATTGGATTGACCTCGGTTCAGGTATCGGCAAAGAAACCATGTTGAACACCCAAGATCAAGCGAGCAAACTCTGTGAGCTTGGCCATAGTGCGTTGGGCAAACGAAGTTTGTTCCAAAAGGGGAGGAAGCCCCATTTAAGGCGTAGAAACCCGTCGCGGAGGCTGGTGTCGCGGGCGCAGGTACGACCGCCGACGGGAAAGGGGGTGGGCGCACACCTCAGACAGGGGGTCGCATAGTAAGTGTACCAACGGGGCCAGTGGGGTCTAGGAGCCGGGATTCGCTTCTCTACCGTCCAGCTTTCTCTCCAACTTAAACTTGCTCCGTCTGCCTCGGACGTAATCTCTCTATATCTTGTAAGATACAGGGATTTCTTACACATTCGGTTTGTTCTAACGAAGTCCCCTCAATCCGGGAGCCATCCAGAAGGAAGAACGTCGGACGTGGTGGTGATTGGTGAAATTTGAAAGAGCAGGTTACAAAGTCCCCCGCCAAAGCAACAAGTTGTCATCATGCCACCATCATCCACATCGCCAACAGCACCTAACAGCAACTCCTCCTCTTTCAAATTTCTCGGAGCCTTACGGCGGCGCGATGCTGCAGGAATTGCACGTAGTAAGACGTGAATTACGGCGGGTACGCTAATACTCTGAGTCAAGGTGAGTTGTATGTCGATACCGAAAGATCAGGTTGCCATTTACAATGTATTCAGTTGATTCTGAACAGAGTTGCACCCAGAACTCATGTCAAGCGCGTATAGTCAAGAACGCCTCTGAGTCAGTTTCCTATCTCGCAACCTAAACACGCGCCTCATCCTACTCTGCGTCTTCTACTCCCTATGGCGGTCCGTTTGGGTAAGTATTCCCAGACTTCATGTGTCAGCGCGCAAAAATGTACGTTGTGCGCAAAACTATTTGTAGTGTTGCGCAAAAGTAATGTCACTGCGCGGAATCATTACTATACTTGCGCAGGATTAAGTACAGTGCGCGCAAATGTTGATTATGCGCGGAAAAGTTGATACGCCTGCGCAAAATTATATTTGGTTGCGCGGAAACTTTAACTACATGCGCCAAAACTTATTGACATATTTATGTGGTGCTCATAAATATTATCAAGTGCCGCAAAAACTCTTATATGTGCGCGTAAATTATTGGTTCCCTTGCGCGGATTTTTTGGGTTCCTTCCATTTTAGGAATGCCGTGGTGCCATGATTAGGTAATTGATCTATTGTTGGCAGCCTCAGCGGAGTTTGAAATAAATTGACATGAGACAATATTCCAGCCGTTTTCATAACGATAGGCCTAATCTCGACCAAATACATGTACAGGCGGAATCTAAAATTGGACGTGTAAGTTGTCGGATGATGACTGAATTTAGTATAACTGTACACTGACTGGGCAAAAAGAATGTCCCATCATTTTTTGGACAAAGTTAGTCCTGTAACGCAAGAACCAAACATTTTGAGAACTATAGTCTGGTGTATGAAACATAGCCAAAAAGGTGTAGATTGTACATACCAAGTCTGGGGATGAACAAGTGAAAAGTCATGATAAGGCAGGGAATTGACTGTGACAAGTGCCAAAAATGGAATGTAACAGAGTGGGAAATTCTGAATGACTGCAACCTACTGAAAGCAATTCACAACTTGAGGAAGAGATATTTTGAACACTGGATCTCCTTGCTATTGTTATAAACTTCATAAAGTCTCTGGGCTAGAAAATTTTATATCCTCCTCTAAAAGGTAAATTTGAACCTGTTCTCCATTTTATGTATTTTTCACTCAATATATTTGTTGGAATGAGGTAAAATGACTCCCCATCAATGTTTGTAGTGTGTATAATACAAAAGGTTGGTAGAAATATTAAAATGAACATTGCATGATGTCCGTAGAAGCTAATTTCCAGAGTTTTTCTGGAAGGAAACAAGTATCTACAACATTGGTCCTTCTTTTCTGCAAGAAGAAAAAATGCTACCATCCTTTTGAATTGATCCATGGAGACTCAGGATGTCTTTTAAACAATGCCACAAGTATAGCATGATAGCAAATAAATTTACACTAGGTATAACTTGAAAAGTCCCAAATAAAAGTACATCTTGCATAGAGCAAGAAAGGTGTGGGGTCTCAGATCCTTGTATAAATAGGACCTCTGTTTATTTCTTTGGGATGGTGTTACTAGGCATGAGAAGTACCTG